TTTTATTATTATAATTCTAATTGTATCTTATCCTAATGATAAATTACTAGTATAAATATTGTTTACTGGTAATAAGTTATTAGTATAGAATATAAAAGTGGCTATATATTAATTGTATCTGCACATGTATAGGATGATTATGAACTGAAAATTGCTACCCTGAACCGTTATGCACATTTGTATACAGGAGTTTCTACCTTAGTTCCGGAATTAATTCTACTTTGGTTACGCCATTCATCTCTTAATTCCAAAATCATGCACGTTTCCAGATCACTTGTCACCGTTCCTCAGAAACTCTCGTAACGAATTTCCAATTGACTCGTCCGTTTCGCATTTCAGTCGCCCCTCATGCCCTCTTGAAGAGTTTTTCTCGGCTTAGATGCCAATGCAAATCAAAGTTGTAACCCGAAAAAACTGTTTCGGTTCCGCGAGTAGAATGTGATATTTATACAATTCAGTGGCAGGAGAACGTACGAAAAGAGAGCACGCTCATATGGAATTGCTTCATGATTAGCTATTCGTATTTCTTATAGTTCGATTTATTTTACTGAATCTGTCTGTTATAAGTTTGATTGAAATACACAAATAAATGAAGAATAGCTTGAATTTTAATTTCAGTGTTGTTTTCTAAATTTAGTGCCGTGGATAGTTTTGAGGCTCACTATACAAGTAAATGACACTATAGATGTACGTAAATTGAATGACTCACTAAAGAAATAAATTAAAGCATCGAATCTACACATCTGTCAATTTTATACTTCGTTATAGATCTTCAATCGTTTCAAAATTTCATTGCACATAATTTTTCAAGTACATTTGGCAATCATGTAAACTCCCGCGTAATTAATAACTCAAAATGCTCAAAATTGCAATTGTGGTTCATCTCTTCTTTGCGCAACGATCAATAAATTTGATGCTGCATTTTTGTGTGTGAATAATTGGCATATTATTTCTTTAATTGAGGGATATTAGTACGTTTTCCCCTCCTTTCGCGACCGATTTTCCACGACCCAGTAATCCTTGGTGCTTTTTGCTTACGAAATAATTATCCGAGTTGAAAGCTTTTAATGCCTTGTTTAAATCCATCCTCTTCATTCTTTAATGAAGTGGGAGTGTTTTTTTACTTCTTGAGAATAGATTCATGTTGGTCTTCGAAAAAATTATTTACGGTTGTCGTTGCTTACTTCTTCGTTGATGACGAGCCTTAATTTTTTCACTGTTAGCATGCTGAAATTTGCTTTAGGAAAATAAGAAGGAATTCGCGTTGTAAACTTAAATTATATAATTATTTATTTTTGTAGTTCTACTAGGTAACACTTTTGGGCAGTGCTTTTCAACATACGTCACTTCGTTTCAATTTGCGCTCTCCGTATTCATGATGAAATTTTTCGCTCCATTCAATCCTCAAAAGCATTTTGATTAAATAATCTTCGTTGATTTGGGCCTTAGCATACATTAACGTCAATATGTTTATGAAAACAGTAAATGAATTTTTACGTGAATGAAAGACATTATCAAGATAATTTCAACGTCAACTGAAACCTGTTTATCTGCAAGCCAGCTTTGCCACCATCCAAATTCATTTGCGTTATTAATTGATCAACGATTTCAATTTAAAAATAATTTCTCCCGACTCGGGTTCAAAAAATGAAATTTGATATTTATTTAGGAAATTAAGTATCGAAAGAAAGCCAGGAGATATTAAAGATCGATCATACGTCACGTCCGTGAATATTCTTCAGTATTATTTATTGATTTATTTACAGACTCCTGCATTATTTATTGGTGCTCGTGACTAGATATATCACGTCTACAATTTTCAGCGGCCGGAAAGATGTTCTAAAATTCTCTCTTCGATTAATCTAGTGAAAGTATAGCGAATTCTTTGAAAAATTTTCCTCAGATGCACAATCGCATCATGAGCTTTGCATCACATCACCAAAAAATATTTTACGATATATTTTATTATTGGAAATATTTTTTATTATCGAAATGCGTCTTTAAAGCGAGTTTAAAATTAAATGCAAAATATTTAATTGATAATTCCACATCCATTATTGAAGATGGTAAATTACATTGTCAATAATCGATCCTGGTGTTATTTGCCTCAAACTATTAACGTACTTAGAGGCAAATATTTTTGCACTGTTCGAGTGATTTTTACACCATTATTAATAGTAGCAAAGTTTTCAATCTATCAATATGCACCTTGGTGAAAGTCCGCTAAACAACCTGCGGGATCGAAGCTCAGGCAGCAACAAGATGAATTTGCGTGCAGTTAACACATGTACTCAGACATGCGTATCGTCCGACACTCAAGATGGCTCGCGTAAAATTCAATGTATTCTTATGGAACGCGCTTGCACGTACGTATGCGAGTGCGTTGTTACAACATAAACGTACGCTAGGCAAATAACTTGTGATGATCTTACTAATTCGTGATATTTATAATTTGCTTGAAATACTCTGCTATGACCTCCCAGGAGGTTTGTTCTTAGACATGTTAACTAGCGAATGTCTGTACTTCTGATTTAGATATCATAAGATTTCTGAAGTTTGAATTTATACAATATATTTTAAAATATTATTTATAGAATTTGACGTTGGCCTGGTGAAACATAATTTGCACGTCCCACCTATTCTAAATCATTGGCGAAATATAATTTATAAAAAAATTTACCAACCTGTTAATTTATTTTTGCTTTACTTTTTTACTAAAATCATTTTACTTTTGATCTTGATTCTCATCATAACATAACACGTTTCACTTCAATCTAAATTATTTTATACATTTTTGTCCCCAGCTCATGCGTGTTAAATTTTCACTTTGCGCTAACATGCTTTCCTTTTCTCTATTTAATTTAAATTTTTTCATCTCATGCTTGCTGCTTCTTCATGCATGCGCTTCCTAACTGCCAAATTTTTCAAAGTCACGCTTCCTTTTCATTTCTCACGGTTGATTTTCGACGGCCGTTATTAACGTTATCGCAGTGCGTAGAACTCTCGTTATAACGCGCGAGTGCTGCCTATATGAGCACGTGCTGCCTATATGAGCACGTGCTGTAGCGGCTCTTCTATCACGTCGAGTCAACACTTTCTTCTTCAGCGAGCCGGTAATCTGGCAACTGTAACGCTTTTAACAAACATCCATCTCATAGCTTAACGATATAAACACGTGTAAAAAATACCTGTAATATTCCAGTAGTTCTCAGCTGACGGTAATAGAATAGTTCTGATTCGGTACTGCATACATCTCATTGTTTGCATTTTTTCTATATATTCTCAAATAATTTATATGTAAATCGCATTATGTAACTCTTAATTGCATATCTTTTATATAATTTGTTATGACTGAACCTTAGTTCATTACAGATTAAAACGCAAGCTGTTCAGGGTCTAAATTTTAATAAGTTTTCTTTTCCTTTCAACAAAGAAATTTAATGTTTAAATTTAATTATACACCAGGAATTGTGGTTTTTCTCCGGAAATTGAAATTTTGCTAGCCATTGTCTGTGGAGCTGGAGTCATTTCCGTCCAGTGGTCGTATATTTTCTTGATTCTGCCACCTATGAAGCTGTCAGTCTTGATCGAGGTCATTTTGGTCCCTGAGTGTCTTTTTAACTGACCGATTCGCATTGAAATAATTTAGCGAGGCTACTTAATGAGCTACGCTAATCTTAAGAAGTCATGTGGGTCCGTTCAGATTTCTGCGAGAATTTCTGCTACAATTTAGATTTGTCGTCTTTTTTACTGGAGTTTTCGTCACTTCCGCAACTGGTATATAGTGTTTCAAATTTTATTTTATTTTTATTTCATTATCTACTTGTATTTATACGAAGTTTTATTGTGGATGTCAATAATTTCGAGTTTTACTTATTATTGAGGAATTAAAATTTGAAACTTGGATCGGAATTTTTACTAATTGAATGTTCTTCTTTTCATTTCAGGTTATAGACCGGAATTTATACGCATATCAGACAATTTTCCACTTACAGTTTTTGTATGTTGTCATAAATCATTCTAAGTAAATTACGTAGAATATTAAAAGTAGCAACTCGTTTTTAGAATAACTGGTTATTGATCGGATACATTTTCGTGTACGAAATATGACCTAACACACAGTACATCTCTCGTATAATGTACAAATCATGAACAGCTTTTACTATAACAATGTGGCGTGCGCTTGTGAGTGCTTGGATTCAACTAACAAGCACTCCAGAGAACTTTCAACTGTGCCTCAAAATCACTCCTCAGAAGATGTTCAAGGTCGATCAAGATTGGAAACAAACAGCGGATTGATGCATCAAAAGTCTGACCACATTCAATACAGAGAAAATGGTGGCATTGGCCATTCAGAATTTTTTACCCGATTAAGTGAAGTGTCCTTGGAAGAATGCAAGATGTTTGGCTTAACTGCAACTGACGATTCGGTGGATCGCGTCTCTATACCAGCAGCAGCGGTGACGCGGATGCACATCTTGAAGCAATCTCCACCCGACCATGTTTGTATTGAAACTTCGCCTGGAGATCAAACTTATAGCGATATTCAAAGATCTTCGCCTGAGATATTTGACTTTTCAGCAGATCTGAATACGAGTGGCTTTGAAAATCAGGACCTGAATAGTTCTGTCAAGCTGGAAATAAATTGCAATGAATTTTTAGGTTCAATCAGTTTGAAGGCTCAGAATGTGATTTTCTACCAAAATTCCAAGTCAAGTGACTCCAGTACTTCACAAATATTTCATCCACAAAAACCTCAAAATTATAGCTCAGTTTTTCAATGTCCCGAAGTTAATGCCTCTTACGACGAGTTTCACCTCCTAAGGATTAACGCAATTCCAGTCGAACTTTCTTTTAGCCAACAAACATCAAGCCATCAAAAAGAACATATTTCCAACAATTTTCTGAATTCATCGAATTACCGAAACGCTACGTCTGAAACTCTCAACACCTGCAGGTGTTTGGTCTCATTGGGAACATTAAGGCAACTTTGTGTTGAAAAGAGACGAAGTGTTGAAACCAAAGTGATTCAATCGCAAGCATCAACCCGAGCACTGCAACGTCATGACGAAACGATGATGGTAACTCCGTGCGTGCCATACAATGGCGCGCTAAAATCACTCATCAAACTTTGTAAACAGACAATGATGCTTCATAAAACATCGCCTGCATTCCTAGCTTCGCGCATTAGTTCTCTAAATGGTTGTGTTTCGTCCGGAGCTTTTAACGTTGCTGAAAAATTCACAGAACATTTTCAAAGTTACTCCATTAAGACTCTTGATTCTCCGCCGGTCGAATGCCGAGTCTCTGGCCCTTATGGAAATTCGAAGGATACAACTCTCTCTTCTACTGTTTCTTCCTTTAGTACCCAAAATCAAGCCAAATTTTCTTCCACTATTCATAACCCTAGATCACGGTCTACTGACTCGCCCAACCTCTTCCGTAAACATAATAAAATAAACACATGGAAATCTAGTTCAGAAATACTTACGACCTTGGAGCAGTCTACGGTTCCTGCCCCACTGCAAAGCTACAATGCGACTCGACCGCAGCCATCAAGATCAGACCCGAGCAAGAGTTGCTTCAGACGACCTCAGGATCCCATCGTGAGGTCTCCGTTACTGCTGCTCATGTTGATGAGGTTTCTGCTGCTACTGCAATGCGTCTTATTTGTTGGTGAGTATATATCTGTATTATTTTCTAGATATCTGGAAAAGTTAATCTATAATTCGTAAATCTGTCCATTTCTCCAATGAATTAGTTTCCAATAATTTATTTTCAATATATACATCCTGTCGAACGTTTAACCCTCAAAAGCTCGCCTGAAATCGAAACATTTGCCTCTCATTTCTACACTCAAATTCTTTTTTTGTTTCTCGCCCGGAAGCGGTAATAAATTTTTGTCAATTATTTATACATTTTGGTTTGTTTTGTGTGTCCTGGAAGACGTTTTTCGCATTCGTCGGTAAATTACATTTGCGCTGGCAATTTCTTCAGTGGTAAATGTAAAGTTTTTGTCATACAGAATGATCGAGGGGAGTCCTCATGCTGCACGGTAAGTGTAGAATATAATCAGTTAAGTATAAAATGCTGGATAGTATATATTGAAGCGACATTGAAGAAAATTGTTCCCTATATATTTTGGTTGGTCAGTGTGTTTTCGGTCGTTCGAACAAGGACAAAATTTATTGTAATTATAGCAGCGGAACGTAATATATCCCATCTCATTGCCAAGGATGCTATACGTGTTCCTCACTACGTATAACAAGTCAATGGGCTTCATGACCTTATGAATTGTAATTACTGCAAGTATTATTGTCTTTGAAGGCATTTTTTATTTATATTCCAGAAGTAGTGTTGTTATGATGCAGTATCAGAGTCAAAAGAACTTGTTTGGCTGCCTACATTTTGATTGCACGCGAGTAGATCCCCCTAGCTTTATCTGCTAACCAGAGCGAGACTTGCGACTCTCGCTCTCGCCCCTCTAACTGATAAACAAGAGACATCCAAGTTTCCCGAGATATCGATCTGTTTTTGCCTTATGTCATGGAAAATTATCAGCACAACATATGTTAATTTATCCGGGCAATAATCTGATTTCCCCTTATTTCTAGTAAATCTAAATTAAAGATATCCCAACTAAACGAAATTACGACTATATTTTACCTCATTTTAATAGAAACACAAAACATGAGTCGTAAAATACCCTCGCATTTCCATTCAGTGTTTTTTTAACTACATTTTCACCTTAAAATGGGAATATTTTACGTATACGGCTGTTGTGATACACACCGTCTTTGTAGTCTTATGCTGCATACCATCCTTAAACTACTTTATTTGCTATTATTTTCTCTAGAACCATTGTGAACACTTAGCGTCGACAACAATTGGTCGCATTTACTCCCAATTTGGAAACCCCAACTCTTTTTTTTTTGTATCGAAACTGGAAACGAACTTTGTTGTTTCCTCGTGACACTTTCTCCGGATTTCGGTAAAGCCACCCGAACCGTGATCGAATTTGCAACGTTTTTTTGACGCCTCATCTCGTCAGCGAAACCGGAAATAAATTTCTATTGCTCGATGCGGGATTGATCATTATGATAAATTATTTGCGGATTCTATTAGAATTATATTTATTTGAAAATATATAAACTGTTCATTTTACACCAACGCTTTGAATAAATATTTAGTATAAATTTCCCATAATAATGTCATATTTTTCTAAAAATGCCTTATGGTTGTTTTCGCGCTCAATCTTCATGGTTTCAGTATATTCATGGCAACGCACATTTCATCTGTGTGATTTTTTGAAGAGTTCTTATTGTGTCATTCCTTGCATGTATCATTGTTAAAAAATCATTCTGTGAACGAACTTTTATCTTTTCTAAATCATTTAGTGCGGAATATCCAAATCTCATGTAAACAAACGGTTTAAATTCAACTCTAATCGTAATCACAGGGCTTACCAATTAATTCAATACCAGCCATTACCTTAAGAGTCAACGATCACGGCATAACATAGGATAGTTTTAATAACGCTAATTGCGCTATAGTGGCAAGCTTTATGCGCTCTTTAGTTCATTATGAGTTACGCCGTGTCCCTTGCATATAGCTGTCGCGTCATGGGAAGCGCTTCTCAGTGAACTTTGCCGGAAATATACGTAGGGATATTGTGAACCGTTGTCCGGCAATATCCGTAGGGATAGTGTGAACCGTTGTCCGGCAATATCCGTAGAGATATTGTGAACCATTGTCCGAGAATATCTGTAGGGAAATTATAAACCGTTGTTCGGCAATATCTGTAAGGATATTGTGAACCGTGGTCCGGTAATATTCGCAGGGATATTTTTTCCTGTGTGTCCTGTCCCATGCGTGTTCTGCAATATCTGTAGGGATATTGTGAACCGTTGTCCGGCAATATCCGTATGAATATTTTGCATCATTTTCCATTGAAACCTGAACAGCTCCATCAGCAAATCATAATTTTTCAGAACTGATGTTAGTCTCTGAAAAGTTTTCAATTTAACCATGGTGAACTTATATGGTGTTTTATTTACTTTTTAATTCGTGGTGAACTAGCGATTTAAGCAGACTAATGATATACATACCCGTGTAACTTATTGTATGCCTGTATCTCAAATGTACGTATTGCTTAAACCTTCAACGGTCAATTTATTTTCTATTCTGCCATTATATGGTTTGTTAAGTACAGTGTATAACACAGTCCATTCTCACGAGCTTCCTTGAAACATGTAATTGTTTCAGCTTCATATTCTTACCGTCAAGACTGGTCACGTACGTACTCTTCTTCTCCGTGTTAAGGTCTCGCTCCCTTTTTATTACATTAGAAAATACCGGTGAAAATCCACGTTTGAGCGGAAAACCTGGACCGGGAGCAAATTAAATAGCAAGCTTGGCTGACCAAAGTGAAACTTCGCTAATGGCTGAATTAATTTTAGCGTCGTTTTTCCCGTTTAATATAACATGAGGTTATAGATAATGGATCGCCGTATCGTCTTCTTGTTTTTTTCACTCTGCTTAATATGACACACTTAGCATGCCTGGTCACTGGAAATGTTTCATCTTAAATCAATTATATTTCCTTAGAGAATTTCTTTCTCGTTGTTATTTTGTATATTTCACACGAAACTCTTCGAAATTAAAATAGATTAGATGCAGTCCACCGCCATCTTTATTCTCTTGAGAAAACCTCCTCAGATGCAGACCTCCTTTGAAATTTCGTGAAAACAAGGGAAATAATCATCTATGATTCTATAAATGAAGTAATTTATTATGCAACGAGATCTTTAAAATAAATTATCGGGAACTCCTGGTGCAGTTTGCGCGACGGAGGCGCCGCTGCCGACCACGTGCGACTGGGGCGCTGCGCCGAAGCCCCGACGCTTCGTGAGGGTGCGAGAAGACGCGCCGCTTGGCTACTCCATCCTCAGCGTGAACGTGACACGTCCCGACCTGCTCGTCCTGTCCCACGCGCAGGTCAGTGATACTTCTCGTCCTGTCCCACGCGCAGGTCAGTGATACTTCTCGTCTCGACCTGCTCGTCCTGTCCCACGCGCAGGTCAGTGATACTTCTCGTCCCGACCTGCTCGTCCTGTCCCACGCGCAGGTCAGTTATGCTTCTCGCCCTGGCCTGCTCGTCCTGTCCCACGCGCAGGTCAGTGATACGTGTCGTCCCGACCTGCTAGTCCTGTCCCACGCGCAGATCCCTCTAACCTCCGATTCACTCACAATTGAAACCTCGAACATTAAATAAGAAAGAAGTTTGCTCCCGCATCATTTTTATCGGTAGCACATAGGCCGTACTTATTTTGCAATGCCGATTACAAGCTGTTTTATTACAAATGTTTCTTATTTTAAAAATTGTCGTCTTATTTCAAAAGTCTGTATGCAACTCAAACAAACCAAATATTTAAAAGGAAACTCAGTTTAAATAATGCACGTGGTCATACGCCAGACTGGAATCCCTTGTGTTAACTGGAGTGCGTAGCGTCAGAAGTGTCGCATTTTCCTCCGCCCTTCCCAACCATGCAATTTCCCAACCCAGTAACGAGCTTTCCTCTAGCGATTACGATGCAATCCTGAAATTACGAAAAATAACGAGTTATTGTCACTTTTGCATCAAATGGGGTGTTAACGTTGTGTTAACCATAAACTAAATATGTGGTTATGTATCGACTTGAAGGTAATCATTCCGTAGAATGTAATTTTATTCGATGAGCTATCACTAATTTAAAATTGCAGCCTGGAACGTCACCGAATTCCTTCTCTGAATATTTGTACATATTTATTATGTTAGAGTAGTGTGGGGAAATTTACAACTTATGATAATTTTGTTTCATTTAATGTTGTCGAAATTTCTCTGGGAATAATTTCGATTTTATAGATATTAAAAGCTCGAAGAAAGCTCATTGGCTTTCTTTGAGTAGGCTACGCCTCGATGTAAAAATGTGGCCAATTTTGTTTAATTCAAATTTAGAGACTGTTGAATTTGCATCAAGAACGATTAGTTTCATGTTAGTTATGTCACGCCCAAGATCAATGTTTAGTTAAAGCAAAATAGTTCTGGTGGTAATTTTTCTCGGAATGATGAACATACTTAACTCATGATGAAACTTATTACGATTTCCGATCTTTACAATTGTTCAGGCTTATAGTGCCAATATTAGTTTTCAGAAACCACCTGAAAAATCATTGCGCAGCTATGCATCAGCCTTAAGAAATAATATTCAGCTAAATTAAGACGAAAGTGGCATATTAATTTCATCGTAATGTTTCCCCATAATAATGGTTGACATTACAGATCAGGAAGGAGCTTCACTATTCCAGGCATAAAATTTTTAGCATAACCTTTGATTACATTAAGAAGGAAGTTGCATTATGGTTTTATCATAATGTATATCATAACAATGGTTGACCTACAAATCATGACGGAGGTCCACTATTCCGGTCATCATATTTTAGTATAATCTTTGACTTGCGTTTGACGAAAGTTGCAAAATTGCGTAATAATGTTTTATCACAACAATGGTTGAATGGTTGACATTATATATCAGGAAGGAGCTTCACTATTCCGCGCATCGGCTGGGCGCGACGAAGGGCTTGTGGTGGTCGCTGAGCGGCTCTCCCAGCTGCTGGCTGAGCCGCAAGCAGCAGCGGCTCCTGTCATCAAGTTCTCTCTTACGTGCGGGGATAACCTGGTGAGCCCTGTCAAGGATCGGCTGGTTTCATGTTTAATATGCTTATTTATCTTAAGAATGCATAATTTTACAACGTTGTAATCGTACCGAGCGTATGCACAGTTATACCTATGCAGTCCGACAAGGGTGAATAGTTACCCTGTCTAGGATCGGCTGGTTTATGTTTAATATGCTTATTTCTCGTAAGAATGCATAATTTTACAACGTTGTAATCGTACAGAGCGTATGTACAGTTATACCTATGCAGTCCGACAAGGGTTAATAGTTACCCTGTCTAGGATCGGCTGGTTTTATGTTTGAATATGCTTATTTCTCGTCAGAATGCATAATTTCACAACGTTGTAAACGTACCGAGCGTTTGTACAGTTATACTTGTACCTTTGCAGTCCGACATGGGTCAATAGTTAATTTTTTCAAAGAATGTTCACGTCAAGGCAGGCTTCCTGATGTAATTTAGTAAAAGGATATTTCATAATAAAGTGATTTATTTTCATAAAGAATGCATAATTTTACAACGTTGTAATCGTACCGAGCGTATGTACAGTTAGACAAATGCAGTCCGACAAGGGTTAATAGTTACCCTGTCTAGGATCGGCTGGTTTCATGTTTAATATGCTTATTTATCGTAAGAATGCATAATTTTACAACGTTGTAATCGTACCGAGCGTATGTACAGTTATACCTATTCAGTTCGACAAGGGTTAATAGTAACCCTGTCTAGGATCGGCTGGTTTTATCTTTTAATATGCTTATTTATCATAAGAATGCATAATTTTACAACGTTATAATCGTACCGAGCGTATGTGCAGTTATACCTTTGCAGTCCGACAAGGGTTAATAGTTAATTTTTTCAAAGAATGTTCACGTCAAGGCAGGCTTCCTGATGTAATTTAGTAAATGGATATTTTATAATAAAGTGATTTATTTTCATTATTTAATTTGTTTCATAGGCATGGAGAACAATTGGACTAAAAAATTCAATATATTTCCTAAATTACCTGAAAATTTTCTGCGCATGGCCGGAGGAGACGGTATATATAGAGCGACTCTTTGTCATGCGTCAAGATAATCCTTTCTATCGAACCCTGTCGCACTCGGAATAATACATGCAATAGTTGATTATAGTTTTCTACCAAATTCTTCTTTCATATCCATCTGAAATAATTTTGTTTGAGCATTGTATTGTTTAGTGCTTGTATAAATATATGGATCAGTGAAAGGTTTATAATTTTTTTTCGACTGTTCTAGATTGTTGGTCTCAAAACCTGTTTTTTACATTTTTACGTAATTTCATAAGTATTTTTCAAAAACACTCATTCGACGTGGTTCTATTAAATCAACATTATCATGCCCGGTAGCTCTTAAATTGAATTTATTGAGATCACTTGCAAACAAAGTCCCGCAAAAGTTTGTTCATAAATCTTAAACAATTGTTTAAATTCTTGTTCATGTTGAGTATGTTTTGCTACGGATTATGATCAAATTTACCAATACCCAAGGCAGTAAATATTTTTATTTTGGCGGCGAACATTTTAAATTATTTATAATCTTAATTTATTATTTGCACTGCATGAAGTAGACAACAATGCAATAATTGTTCAGTAAATATCCACGAAAGGAAATGTTGATTTTTTTCCGCACGTGTGTACGATGAACACGCACAGAGAGACGTAGCTTTTGTTTTCAAACCATAACTTTCATTCGCTTGTGGTTTACATGATATTAACACTCAGCAACTCAGTTCTACGCCAGTTTAATTAAACCCTGTAATTGGTGAAACTTGTGCATCACATCACGTGATATGTACGGCGCTGAACCTTCTATAATAAACACCACTTCGTGTATTCAGTTCTATATAGACCAGCCATCAGATTCTCTTTTTGTGCTTTTTTGTCTGTTCAGATCTCTAGTAAAAACGATGCTAGTTATTCTGCCTATTTTGAAATTACTGTCTTTAATTCTCTGGTGGTCTGGTAAAATTTTGTTTAACATTCGTTATCAATTTATTTACATCACGGGAAATATTGAATATAGCCTACATACTTAGTTTTTTTGATAGATGCCACTGACTTATCAATTGATAGTTTTTGTGACTTTTATTCTCCATTTAGTTTGTCATGTTGAATAATTACAATTCCCATTTGGTTTATGAATAAATGTCCTTCGCAAGTATTGTGAAGGGCATTTATTTCCATTTCCCTTGTTGGCCTGATTTGAAAGCGGTTGTGAAATTGCATATACAACTATTATAATTAGATTAACTATTTTTCGAGTAATGATACAATTTAATATTGAAAATAACCATAAAAATTAATTAGTTCGGAAAGTGGATGGAACTGCAACGCGTCCTAAGTAATAATCCTTCTTGCCGGACAAGTTAATTAATATAATAATATTAATATAATTAATATTAATATTATTATATTATCAAGATGTCAAGCTTTGTGAATCTGTCGATTCTTAAGTGGAGTATTTATTATTCTTATTATTCTCTTATTGACTAAAATAAGTTTCCTCAGTTAATTCCTTGATACTACATATATGTGTTTCAAGCTTTGGTGAATTCTCCAGAAATTTCTTGCGGGATTTCGTAATGTTCTACTACGTTAATGCTATGCGTTATAATCAATTTTGAGTTATCAGTTGCAGCAGAAGTGTCTGCTAGCCAAGTTTTGTACGAGCTCAATCCCATATTTTTTCAATTCGAGGATCATATTTTAGATGATTCCTGTTTCTAGGTTCATTCTCCATTAAATGTGTTCTTAATGGTACATTATTACTACCATTTGCATGTAAATTTTAACGTAAGTTTTTTCAGTTCACACAGCAAGTGACGGTTTATGTTGAAGACGTAAACGACCACGCCCCGATGTTTGATGTACCCATAATCTCCATCACTGTTGATGAGCTCACGCCAGTTGGTAAGTCGCGGTGAACAACATTTAATTAAATTAATTCAATATGGTGGTCTTCAAGGTCTTAAAAGCTCAATGGTGGTCTTCAAAGATTTTTCATTAAAAACTGTTACGTGTTAAATGGTAGAGCATCTTACTTGTACTCTTATGAGCTCAATAGTTTTGTAGATTTGATATTTGACAATGATTCAACGGGACGGGATTCAATTTGCTATTACTAGAAACGAAACGAGTCAAGTCGAAATACTTCAACGTGTTGTCACGTAAGTCAATATCATGTAGCTCGTACAATTTGATATACCCATCAAATTGTACGAATAATTCAGAATTATATAATCAAATGTGTCGCAAATCAATACCTAATTTATTTAACCTGTTATAAATTCTGCAATTTCTGTAATGTCTATTTAATAAATAACTAATACTCTTATATCTGAGGACGTGACGACAATTTGATGATTTTTAGCCCATTTTCTCATTTATGGAAAAAAATGCACTAATGTGCTCGCCATGTCCGTCTGTCTGTCTGTCCGTCCGTCCGTCCGTGACCTCAAGTTTTCGTCGACGAGAAAATATGCTCTCTGTCACTCACTTCAGTGAGTACTGAGTTATATTTTTTTAATGTATGCAGGCCTGACAGTTCTCAACGGGATCAAGACCACTGACCTGGACAAACCTAACACAGCCAACTCCGAGGTGACGCTCTCACTGGGTGGAGGGGATCCCAGTGTGAGTTTTTATCCTATTCTGAAATCACATAGTCTATTTTGAGACCAATTTTACCATCAACATACTGGCATAATTTCGAAATAATAATTTTCAAAAAAGCGACACTCTTCCTAACAGAGCTGTCGCAATAAAACACTCATGAAAATTCGCAAATTAATATTATATTACATGTTAGATTTTGTTGCTTGTGTATATTATTTTTTACTGCACCCGTTTACAGACATACAATTCCCAAGAAAATTCACTTGCCAATTAATTTTCAGGGCTACTTTAAAATGGCGGACAGTAAGAAAGGCATCGTGCAGCTCGCTAAAACACTCGATTATGATGACGGCCCGAGGACTTTTGATATTCAAGTTATTGCTCAAGTAAGATTTTTTATGTTTATAATTTAAAATGATTTTTTAAGTACTTTTTTTGCAGTTGACAGCTTCATTTCATTCGTCTTTGATTTTAGTTTACGTTGCATTAATTGATTTAAGGCGTAATGCAATTAGGCGTGTTTAGGTACGGTTTAATTGATACTTGAATCAGCATAAAATGTAATGTGCAGATGTTAATTTAAACATAAAACATATAATTTGTAAATATCAATATTCATTTAACTTGTCGTAATTTTTTTTCTTCTATGCACTTATCCTGCAACGCCATAATTTGCACCGCTCTCATCAAATGATATCGGTCATATTATTTAAATAGTGATATATTTTGTGCAAGTGACACTGATACGCCCTTTCGTTGTCTCGACGACGTGAGTCAGAATGACCCACGAAAGCATGAACACGCATAAGTATTCGGACAAATTCTCATTCATTTCCTGAGTGTGCAATATTTCCGGTCTACAGGACCAGGGCAGCCCTCGTCTGTCGTCCTCCGCCCGGTTGTTGGTGGCCGTCGTGGACGCGGACGACAGGCCGCCGGTGTTCTCAGCGGACACCTACAGCGTGTCCATCCCTGAGCAGCCCGGCGTTGATACCGTGAGTCTATAAATTGCCGTGATTAAAAATGATTTATATTTCAATAAAAAAATTGCTCCTAAATCCTACATTTTGATTAATCAACGTCATCTGAAGAATTGTTCGACCTTGAAAAATTAAATAAATGAATATACATTATTCATTGAGGTGACAAGCTCGCCCATGAACGTCCGGGAGGCTTCTGCCCACTGCCTTCCGCTCGAGGCTTGATTTGCAAGTCCCTGGGCAGCTCGCAGGCACGGTAGGCCTGGCCAAGCCAACTCTCGCCATTCTCTCAAGAGACTATATAAAGCCGGCAAGGTGATTTTACCTAGTCACTGATTACGATCGGGAGGCCTATAGCAGACCCAGAATAACTCTAACCCAACTATGACGAGTCTGCCGCGGAGGCTGAAGCATACCCCAAAAATTGCTAAGGCAGGAATTTTCACCTCACCGTTGGTTTCTCGCCGTGAATTTGTTCTCGTCGTAAGTTTTTAAGTTTCGGTGATCCCTGAGGTGCTACCGTGACTACCAGTTCGAGTGGACCAGATTGTTAACTAAATATTCAATTTCATTAGAAATTTTAACAACCAGGGGAATCTTGAAAAATTTTCGAGTGTACTTAAGAAATTCGTGCGATACCGAAAGTTTTTACTCGAAAGGAATCTCATGCCTTATTCGACAATTACATTCTAGCGATTTTCACATTTGAATTGAAAATTGTTAACAACTAAAATGGAATGTTTCTAATTATAATAGCATTATTTTGGAGTTTTTATATCATTTTTCGTGCAGGGAAGTTTCGCGCCGCGCGTCTTATATCCCGAGCCGCCGCTCCTCGCAGCCGACGGTGATGAAGGCCTCAACATCTCGCTCGTCTATTCCATCCTGCCGGGACCTCATGCCACTGCATTCAATGTTGGTCACTGTAATATATTTTAGACACTGTCATTTATTTTGCCCAGTACTGTTTATGTTATTCCCTAGCTTTTATGTCAGTCGCTGATATTCATGTTAGCCACTGCCTTTAATGTTAGTCAGTGTTATATATTTCAGACACTGTCATTTATTTTGCCCAGTATACTACTTATGTTATGCCCTAGCTTTAATGTCAGTCGCTGATATTCATGTTAGCCACTGCATTTAATGTTGATCACTAGTTTGTTTGACACTGTCATTTATTTTGCCCAGTACTACTTATGTAATTCCCTGGCTCTAATGTTAGTCTCTGATATTCATGTTTGCTGCTGCCCTTATTGTTGGTCACTGCTATTTATGTTAGGCACTGGCATTTATGTTAACCACTGGCGTTTATGTTAACCACTGGCGTTTATATTAGCCATTGACATTTATGTTACTACGGGAAACTTATATGAACCCTGTTATTTATGTTGGTCACTGCCATTTATGCTAGCCACTGCCTATAAGGTTGATCACTGAAATTAATGTTAGCTGCTGCCATTTATTTTAGCCAGGACTACTTTTGTCTAACGCTGCTGTTTTTTTGATCGTGATCTTCATAGAAAGAGTATATCTTGAAATTGTCCCGAAAACAAATTTCCTACATTGATGCGGTAACCTTATGTTTTAATGAGGCCTTTATCGTCAAGGCTGACGACAACGAACGCGAAAGTTCTTCGGTTCTGGAGGTGCTCGTGACTGACGTCAACGATAATCTGCCTGAGTTTGAACACGATCTTTACGCCATCAGCATCGTCGAGAACCTGCCCACTGGCTTCAGCGTCGTGCAAGTTTCCGCTTCTGATGCCGACCAAGTCAGTATACGAGCATTTAGTCAGTATACGTGCATTTAGTCAGTATACGAGCATTTAGTCAGTACACGTGCATTTAGTCAGTATACGAGTATTTGGTCAGCATACTGAGCATTGAATCTACATTATTTCATGTCAATGTTATACTGGTCTCGTATTTGTTCCCAACCTTTACATGTTACGTTAATGTTGTTATGGATCAAGTTCTAAGATAAACTATGATGTTCAGAGAGTCGTACCTAAATTTTTTTCAGTAGGCTTCCAACTCGATTCAGATCACAGAATAATCATTTGCTCTATTCTATAAACTCTCCGGAGTACCCTTATTTTTATAGAACTTTTTCGCCAATCGCGTAGCCTCTAGGGGAAGCTTGCTTGGCGAATGATATTGGTGAATAATATATTGCTAAATTCTGGTGCATATATGCACGTTTCGTAAATTTTCGCTGATCGATTATCATGTTTATACTTTTTACTCACACTTTTTACCACACCGCTGAACGTGACTTTTCAGGGTGTGAACGGTGAATTTCGTTATCGATTATTCGGTGGCGACTCAGCTTTGGCCATTAACCCCAACACCGGTTGGCTAACGGTGGCCAACCACTCTCTTCTGGACCGTGAAACTCTACCGACTTTGTCGCTTCAAGTTTGCACTGAACAAGTAGCGCCCCTTGTTAGCAGCCCGCATGTGGTCATGGAATCCACCACTTCAATTTCGCGAAGACGCCAAACGTTGCCAATTGATGTGCCAGCAGCGACCCCTTCGCATTTCACGAACCTTCCATCCACCACGACGGCGGAAACCAGTCAAAAACTTCAAGTTTCCGAAGCACCTCCACTTTCCCTCACGAAATTGAACGCCCGAACGTTTATTCCGAGTGATAGAGATTTAACAGTTCCGATAGTTACTCAACATTCATCCGAAGTTAAAACCAAAACCAGAGCTTTTCCCACTGTCATCATCCGTAAATCTGAATCCAGTAATTCCTCTCTCAGTCCGTCGCCAGAGATACGTGATACTTTTAGTATAGAGGACGCAATCCCTAAACTGGAAACGTTACCCTTTGGAACTAGAACTGCCCCAAGAAAGGCTTCCCGGTCTTCAGCGGTAAGAAGACTTGACGCATCCAAATCCTCTAGTTTGAGTGAGCCACTTTCCGAAATTTCGGCCATGCCTTTAATTTCCTCGGCAACGACCGAGATTCATATCAATAAAAGTTCCAGTGAAGTAACATTTTTGAAAGGTAAACGTCTTGAAATGTTTGATCTTTCTGATGCCACTACGAAGCTTTCAAAAAACTCTTCCATTTCTGATGTGAATTCCCGGAAAAAACGTAACTCCGACGCGTTTAATAAATTCAACACGCGGCGTCACGCCAAACCCAAATCATTGGTGCCAATTAAGTTGATCAGCAACCAAAATCTTAGTGTATCAGGAGAGGTTCTGGAACGTCCTGGGAATTATTCGTGCGCCGCCATACAACTCACTCTTCTGGATGCGAACGACAATAACCCTGTGTTTCTACCATCAAATCAATATCACTTCACCGTCAGGCAGGATGCAAAACCGGGCATGCGAATAGGCAGGGTAAGTGCAGATGAACAATTAACAAAAAAAAAGTGGAGTAAGCGTTGTGATAATTTGTCCATATAGTCATAGTTCTCAGTTCTTTCTAATACAGATTTTAGTTTTTTTATATATTACTCTTTGTATCTGTATGTATGTATGTATTAACCGTCTTCAATGCTATTCACAGCAATATGCCTGATAATTAGATTCACATATATTTGCTATAATAGTAAGAAATGACGTGTCAAACAAACGATGACCACATTTATTCAATTCAAACTATTACTTATTTCCACCTAATTATTTACTTTTACAATAAAAAGGCATCCAAACTCAATTATTACCCAATCTAGTCGAACAAATGAAACTGACTTCCCTTGTGTGAGACAGTTTTGACGTATGTGATGTAGTTTCCTTTGTTACTTAACATGTGTGTTGTTGTTTACTTCACAATTTTAGTACCCTAATAATAATATTAATACTCACAATTTTCTAAAGGTTGAAGCCATCGATGCAGATTCAGGTATGAACGGACATGTGACATACCGACTTCAAGATCGCACTACCGCTGCTATTGCAAGCCACGGCAACGTAACGTCAACATCAACCGACAACGAAAGGAAATCAGCAATCATCGTTGAGAGCAACACTGGATACCTCACCCTTAACTCGGCGGCTCTTAAACTCGGCGAGTTTACTATGTTCGTAGAGGCCTCCGACTCTCCCGCCAGTGTATCTGAAACTCGCACCTCGCTGGCTGTCGTCGTCATAAGGTGTTTATTGCTAAGCCGTTCTAGGAATGTGTCATGTTTTTTCAATATATTTACAATTTTTTGTATTTCAAATCAAGATTTTTTCTTCGGAATGAGTCATGTTTTTAAATATACAGTATTTAAATTTGTTTGTATTTCAAACCCATATTTTTCCATTTTAGGCATATTTATTACTATGCGCTCGTTTTTGCTTGAGTCGACGAATGTTTGATGTAGAAGATTCTCGAATTAAATTTTTTCTTGGTAGGTGATTCATTTCAGCTGTGGCTAGGTGCTAGTTGGTCATTAATAGCAGACGCGTTCTACTAATAACTGAAATCTTTCTTATTGTCATAGGATAATTTATATCGGCAACAACATTTCGTTTACATTTTTAACTGGCTTGACTATATGGGTTTGACACAATTTTGACTCTACGGGCAGAATAATTGGCGTGACACAATTGACTTTTTGGGCTTATCACAATTTGATTCTTTGGGCTTAACACAATTTTTACTCTATAAGTTTAACACAATTTGACTCTCTGGGCTTAAACTAATTTGACTCATTGGGCTTGACTCAATTTGACTCTATGGGTTTAACACAATTTTTACTCTATAAGTTTAACACAATTTGACTCTCTGGGCTTAAACTAATTTGACTCATTGGGCTTGACTCAATTTGACTCTATGGGTTTAACACAATTTTTACTCTATGAGCTTGAGAAAATTTTGACTCTATGACGCTCGTCTCTAACCTGACCGTAACTCAGCGTGACGGCGGGCGACGCGTGGGAGCCGCGGTTCGAGGGCGCGCCCTTCGAGTTCTGGGTGGGCGGGGACGCCAGCGTCGGCACGTCCGTCGGGCAGGTCCGCGTTGCCGACCTCGACCGACGACGCATCTTCTTCGACATGTTCCATAGCTATGAAGATGGGGGTGAGGCAACGAAAGATACATGGACCAGAGAAATATTAGATTTTACGTCAAAAAACAATGTTCGAGGTCACACGAAATTCCATTTTTTATTTTTTATTTCTTGTAAAAGTTTCTCCCCTCAGGGGGGACTTCTGACGCGTGTCTGTGCTCGTCAGAAGTCCTATAGAATTTCGCGCTTCTAGGGAGATTGTTCCTGAGCGCCCCACCGCTGAGCTCGCGGGGTCTGACCGTTGGTCTCAGTTGTCGGGTTAAGTTATTATGTAGGTAGGATTCCTTACATTAAGTTATTATGTAGGTAGGATTCCTTCATTTCCCTTCTCTGTTTCTCTCGTGCGGGCGGCCGACGTCCCGTGTAAGCGACTTCTTATTAGAGTGTTTTCGTTTCTGTTGCTTTTCACCTGTCCCTCCTTGTCACTTCGTCTCTCTGAGATGCTAACGCTACTTCTTTCGAGCCAGCTTCAGCGGGCTGGACATCTGAGACCTTCCACCTCTTGTGGATGATGACCTATTTTTGATTTGAAAAACTTTTGATAATTGAGACCTTTCACCTCTTTGGTGATGTTCAACATGACTTTCGGTGCGAGATAGCTAAATAGCTGAAGCGCTAGTAAACATGTGGCCACTAAACTAACTAACTAACCGTAAAAATTTCTGTAATATATACCATATTTTTAAAGTATGTCCACCCTGTTCCTGTACGGAAAAGCACAGCGATGGTCATTATTATCGCACACTTCCCATTAGAAACCTCTAGGACAGAATTTGATTTTGATAATCTAACTATTCGCATTTTTCGCTCATAAAATTTTTTTATCCATTGCCGTGCGACTTTTTCTTAAAGATTATGACCAGCTAATTTACGTCCATCAAGCTTATTACATGTTCCGAATCGTCATAGAGCATCATTATTAATTTGACGCTTGTATTGGCTTTTTAACTTAACATAAACCGTCACCATTAATCATATATTTTTTCCAAATGTATAATCTGGGTCCATACGACCAAAACTCGCTTAAGTACACACAGCGGACTATTTCGCGTATGTAAGTGGTAGGTTTTAACTTGAAAAACAGTCTATGATTGGCTGACGCAGCAAAGAACTTGTAACGTAACTGTTTTTTGATGGTATGGCTTTTTCCTACGTTACTATCTCTACTGCGAACTAGTTACTGAACAAAGTAGCTGAGCTATTACTGCGCCGCTCTCTCGAGTCATGCATTAGTAACTTAGTAGTTGCTTAACTAAGTAGTTAAGGTTTTACTGCACCGTTCTCTCGTGCCAGGGCATTAGTAACTTAGTATTTACTATTCAAAGTAGTTAAGGTTTTACTGCTCTGTTCTCTCGTGCCAGTGCCGTTCGCAATCGAGGAGACCAGCGGCATCGTGTCAGTGGTGGAGCCACTGGCGGGTTTTGACCGCAGCGACTACCAGTTCGAGGCGGTCGTTACCGACGGACAAGCCTCACTCGTCACGAACTTGTCCGTGCACGTCGCACCTCAAGCCAGGTCGCCGCAGATGTCAGAGATTGTCCTTCTCATGTCGGTTCAAGTGAGTTTAATTCGAGTAATTTTAATTCAATTGTCTACAACGAGGCCGTCGGTTTTGACTAATCTTCGGCCTGAATTTTTATCTTCTTTTACACGCAGGTGAAGTTTTTGAAACCTAAGTTTCTGTTTATCGGTCCTGCATTTTAACCACAATTGGGTTTATTCAGAGTAAATATATTGTCCTTTTAGCCGCGTTTAGTTTTTATACGACGTCAATATCTTCGCACTAATCATAGTATTTACATTGGTGAATTTTATTTGAGAATCATCGGTATTTTTGTAAGGATTTTCTTGACCACACATGAGTGGAGTTCCATTCAAGTTTTCTTAATGGCTTTTAATACATGTACATTCTCTAATTACGACAGTTCATTAGATATCTTCTTTATCCTGAAGCAGTACGTGATCATGCAAACCTCCCGTACGTATATGATTGGTGGTTGCAGATGAGGTCGCCTTATCAAGCCGAAATTCCGATTTCCTGTTTGATTTATCTACTAGGTTATCGGTAGCCATTTCAAATGTTACATATTTATGCGTAACACAGCCCTCCTTGCACGTTATATTTTTGTCAATGTTAAGTGTTTTATTTTTTTTATTAAGTTTTGCGAATTTCATTTAAACATTTCGGTTGCTTGCAGGAGAACTTGGCTGGCGGGCTGGTGGGCAACATCAGAACTGAGCTCAAGAAACAAGGTATCGACCTGCCCCCTGAACCACGTCTTGACCTGGTGGGTATGGAGCCCACCTACTGACAGGAGTTGACAGTTGTTATCTCTGACATAAAGAGATAACAATACCTACCGTCTAAAGTTTTGTTAAACAATAAATTCATAATACCCTTATACGTACCTCGATAAGGTCTCATTTTTCTTTTTCTATTTGTTCAAGTAACGAGTTTAATATCGTTTTATTTACACAAAAACGTTAACATCCAATTGAATGGTGGAAACATCTGTTCAATCTGTTTGGGCAAATGGTTTCAGCAAATATTCAAAGGAATTCTTGTCATTATACAAACTTATTCATATTAAACACATTCATGCGTTCAATTACAGAGCCTCATATATGCTAAAAATGATATTTCACTGACAGTAAAAATTAATTAGAGCGCAAAACATATTATGTTATATTATTTATTAATCAAATTGTAAACAATTATAAAACTACTTACGAATTGTGACCTAGCGAACAAACTTATTTGCGTACATGTTCCTAAATATAAAACCAGTTATTAAAAATTCGCCAATAAACTAATGTAACTGAATTTATAAGTAGTTATAAACACACAGTCAAGCAACTTAACGATGTGCATGTTTGTAAATTAAAAACCAGTTATTGAAAAACAGTCAAGATACTAACTGATTACGCGTTGGATTTAACCAGGTTAGCCCCGAGAGTAATTAATAGATTATCTATATCATTATATCATTTATATAATTTCCCAGAGATAAAAAAGTATCAAGAAACTTAATTATATTGTTAAGGAACAAGTTTCTAAATTTATAACTAATTATATATGCAAACAGTCGAGAAACTTAATGATATGCATGTTTCTAAATTGAAAACCAATCATTAATAAACAGTCAAGATACTAACTGATAACGCGTTGGATGTACCCAGGTAAGCCCCGAGACTCGCGAAGTGTTCGTGATCGCGCAAGACTCGTCGCTGTACACGGCAGCCGCGCTGGACCACGAGACGCGAGCTGTGCACGGCTTAGCGGTGCTCAGCGCCAGCTCTGCACTCATATTCTACATTAATGTCCAGGTTCAGGAAAAAGCGTGTTATTATTTATTATAGTGTTTTTATTTGTTCAAGTAAAATTTTCTATAAAACCTACACCCTGTTATGCATTAGCCAGATATTCTACATCAATGCCCAGGTTCAGGAAAAACCTGTGTTATTATTTATTATTGTGTTTTTATTTGCTTAGGTAAAATGGCATATAAAACCTACATCATGTTATGCGTTAGCCAGATATTCTACATCAATGTCCAGGTTTAAAAAATACCTCTGTTATAGTTTTATTCTATGCCAAGGAGTAGGGTTTATTAAACCTACACGAAGTTATGCATTGGCCACATATTCTATATCAATGGTACGGTTCAATATAACCTGCTCAGTGTTATTCTTTGCACAAATATTCTACTTTAATTTGAAGGTATGATGAAACCTACTCGATGATATGCATTGGTCTTATGTTCTAAATCCACGCCAAAGTAATATGAAGCAAAGCTATTCATTAATTAGGTATTATAAATCGAAGTTCCGACATTTAAAACGCATGCCACGGTATTTAACCGTCCAATATCATGCATTAATATTCCGGTAAAAGAAATACAATCCATCGTCCTCATGACATGCCATTTGAACCTATAGCATTTGTGGTTTGCTCTTATATATGGAGCCCTTGTAGTCCTGGTAAGCTATACGTCGAAAATCGTTATTTCTCTTCTTTCCATCCTTCTGATCTTTACGATGACATAATTTATGGAGCATTTATCATGGATTTAACATATTTTTTGCTGAAAGGTTGAAGACGTGAACGACAACCCGCCTCAGCTGAACGCAGTGTCATACGAAGGCTCGCTTGGGGAAGACTCGCTGCCTGGGACTCCTGTGCTCATCACACCAAGGATAGAAGTGAGTTCGATTTTTGATAAAACAGAATTAATTCAAAATTCTTTATTTGTTTAGGAATCTGTAATAACCCGTCCCTTTTAAACTAGATTTTATTCTCATTCAACATCGGACTAAGTTTTTTTCCGTTTCATTAGTGTTACAACTTGAACTGACTTCTGTAATTTTACATCAAACACATAACATGTCATTTATTTATTCAATCATACAACGGTATTACAATCCATCAGGTTACTGACCTGGACTCTTACCCCGGTTCATCTTGGGAGCTTCGATTGCTTGGGTCTGCTTCTGCTCTGTTTGCTATGAACGCTTCTACGGGCTCGGTCTACTTCAGAGGAGGACACTTAGATCGGGAGAGTATCGCAGCATACGGACTTCTCATTCAGGCAATCGACGACGGAAATTTGACTACTTACGCAAATCTCACTATTAAGCTCGAGGATGTCAATGATAACTATCCGATATTCCGTAAATCCAATGAGATACCCCAATACGCCACAAAAATTGCGGATAACGATATAGGGTCCAGAGGGAAAAGCATCCGCGATCGCGATTTTACAAATTCTGATGGCTCTACGCAAATTATAATACCAGAATCACTGTCCGTTGGTAGCAAAGTGACGCAAGTTGTGGCAGACGATAAAGATGTAGGCCTGTTTGCCGACATTCGTTATCTCATAGAATCTCAAACTTCATACCATCATGGAGGTAATTCATCTGCCGTGCCGCAAGTTACGTCAACAAATACATTCTCATTGGAGCCCAAATCAGGGAACTTGGTTGTAGCAGGCAAGCTCTTGCCTGATCACCTCTACGTGCTCAATATTTCAGCCATAGATGGAGGGGGGCTGTCGACAATGACTGTCGTGTCTGTCAACGTTTACGATGTCAACGACCATGCACCTCAATTCCTGCTCCCTGTATATTATTTTGACATCCTTGAAGGTTCGTATCTCGTTGGAGAGGTAGGAGGAGTCACGGCTGTAGACTTGGATCTGGGAGAAAATTCTAAAATTATGTATCAAATTGTTGTGAACGAATCGCCATTGACCGAAACGTTTCCTTTCCGTATTGGAGAAACTTCAGGGATGATACTCGCCACTGGCCAGGTTGATAGAGAAATGCAGTCCCGTTACCAGTTCTCGGTCATTGCAACTGATGGAGGCGAACCTCCGCTTTCCACTTCAGTTGAAGTACATATTTCTGTCAGCGATTCCAATGACCATGATCCAATTTTCTACGGCTATCAAACCATCTACTCTGGATCAGAAAGGTTCAAGAACTATTCTCTGCCCGTGTATCAGATAACTGTCCCTGAAAACCTGCCGAAAGGTACTATAATCACCAAAGTTTTTGCAAACGATTCCGATTCAATGACTTCCGGGAATGGAATTGTTCTGTATAAAATCGAGGAACCGAACTCCCCGTTTGGTATTGACTCTAAAAATGGGAGCATTTTCACTGCCATGGATTTGGATTACGAGACGAGTTCTTCGTTGCGGGCGACGGTGGTCGCCATCGACGTTGGAACGCCGACCAGATCTGCGTCGGCATTGCTTGATGTGACAGTGACTGACGTGCGAGAGGATCTTGCTGATCGACTCTTCGACGTAGAACAATACGTGGTGAGCAATTAAATAACATTACTTCTATTTCCAAAATTTAATTGAATGAAACGGCTAGTTTTGCTGATTTTTTTATGAACTGATATTGTTGAATTCCTGCGGATTTACATTCAAACGGTTCCATAAATCTCGTAGCCTCCTTAATATAAGTTCTGTTAAGTTATGTTTGAAAGTTATAAATAGTGATACATCTTATGTGTAAATTTTCCGTAAACTGCAGGTTTTAATGTTTCCTAGGTACAAGTGAAGGAAAACAGTGAAGTGCCGGTACCTCTGCTTAACCTGAGTGGATCCTTCGCACGCCTCAGCGAACAAGGCATGCACTTTTTATTGGCGGATACACGTTACGAAGACCTTGTATCTGTGGACACAGAGTCAGGACAAGTCTATCTCATAAAGTCCCTCGATAGGGAAGAGCAACATGAATATAAATTCAAGGTAAGCGACCAAAATATAATTCGGTGTTTTTTCAACATAAATTTTGTACGTGAGTATTGAGTCGATATTTTTTTCAAGTAAATTTTGTACACGAGTATTGCGTTTATTCCGGCTTCACTGACAGTAGAGCTCAGTGGTCAGTGGAGCTTGTACTAACTGGTTTAGTGGAGCTTTTAGCACCAGTTAAATGTGAGATGTATGAAATTATTGTGCAAATTTCTTTCTGCCAACACTAAATACTCATGTGTGATGTGAAATTATTTCAGATTCGCGCTCTAGCTCCTTTAGAGATATTTCGTTCGAGCGAAAGTCGACGGGAGGAAATTTATACGCTAGCGACGACCACTAAATCTGTGACTGTGCCAACCACGCAACATACCACATACTTTACTCGCAGCTCTGGTCTACGAGCTACTACCGAATTACCCAGTGTTGCTAAAGACGACAAGTTAAATCCATTTATTGAGCCAAGACGTAGAAAACAACCGATAACGCAGGCTCCGGCTTACCCTCGCACTGATAAGTGGAGAAGCTCGAGACGAGATTCTGGAATAAACGGTAGAAGTGACGTGGCACCGAGTAACAATGGAGAGAATAGTGAAGACGATAATGAAGCATCTCAAAGGAAAGGGAGAAGTTTCCACGAAACAAACATCGAAGAAGATCTGATCATGTCAGCTTCACTTGAGACTTCGATTAACATCACCAATGTGAACCAATCTGTTGCCGAATTTCCAATCTCCGTTGAAGGAGCTACATTTGGCAATGAATATTCCCGCAAAAGTACCGATGATTTTTCAGCTACGGTTGAAAAATCTCCTTTAGAGCCAAATGTAAACATTAGTCAAATGCTCTTGTCCAATAATCATCACTTGGAAATTACCACGGCAAGTAACGGATCTCCGAAAATGTCCGACACGCACTCGAAGAAAGCGAAAAGATCTGCACTGAATGAAAGTGGCGACACGCGCCGTATTTCGCTCACGCAAACTAGCGAGCGAGATTTCGGAGCAAGAATTTCTGAAGGTATTCCGGTCAACTTGATCGATTCTTCTCCTCGCTTGCATAATCATTTGGTAAGTCGGTACATATTTTAGGGAGTTATTATTTTTACTTGCAATCAAATGTTCAGAGACGTATAATTACAAAGTTTATAAAGTTTGGTCACATTTAACATATTATAGTTACGAAGGTATCGGGCAACACGATGATAACATCACTTAATCTATAGAGGCTTACGGCATTAGGCTACGAATGTTAAGGGAATAGGAATGTCAACCAGTGAATGTTAACAGAGTCGCACGCAACAAATGCGTGACGTGGAAGCGTTTTCTGCGTCAACGCTGCAACTCAACGAAGTCTGGGTCGTCATCAAAGTGCTGGACGAGAACGACAACCCGCCTCGCTTCAACAACGATGGTCGGCCGCTTGTGGGAGCCGTGCTCTCCGACGCAATTTTCGGACACGAGATATTCACCATCGAGGTAATCTGTCCCACAAAGAATATTAACAAATTACGGAAAAATTTGATGATATGAAATACTTTTATCTTATTTACTTTTATAATTGAAGTACTTATATTTTATTTACGCAAGGCGACGGACCCTGATGCCGGGCCACACGGAGCTGTGCGGTTCACGATGCTGCAGAGCGGACCGGCCGACCTCGCGCGGCACAAGTTCGCCGTAGACTCCCTCACTGGCCGCGTGAGTCTCAACTGTGGTCCTTGTTAAACTTCTTTGCGCGATTTTTTAAGTAATTCTTCTTTTAATTTGCGCATTAAATTTTCCATCTTATCACATAGGAATCGAACTGAAATTTCTTCCTTTCCAAATCAAATTTTAAAGTTATATCTCAAACAATGAAATGATATCTTTCTTAATCAAATAACACACCAATTTTTCCTTCATTTCTCCAACATATTTCTCCATCAAATTATATTTTATTACAATGCCATTATTTGATTTTCATTTTTCTCTGGATTTTGATTATCAATTCCAATCACCGCGCGTTTGTTTAACGCATCAACAATGCCACTTTAATCTCCTGCACTCAAAGAAATGAGAGAAACTTTGTCCAAATAGTGAAGCATTTTTTCTTTCTGTGTTGGTCATCTGGACCTAGTTTGAGTCGGCAAAAAAGCATATCAGTGTTACGAGCAGAAACTATGTCTCTATTTGGACACGTTTATTTTTCTGCGTGTGCAGGTGACGGTGGTTGGCGACCTGAGGGCGGACGAGGGCCGCATGTTCGGGTTTGACGTCCGCGCCACCGACAACGCGGGGCAGCCGGACGGCCTCAGCGCCGTCACTAATGTTTTCGTAAGTATAATTCTTCGTAATTTTCGTAAGTATAATTCTTCGTAATTTTTTTCAGTTAATACAGAGTTTCAACAAATTTGGATATATATTTATATATAGATAAATAGTACATTTTTGTTTCAGAAAAGCAAGGCCAACTCAATCCGTTATTAAATAAAATTATCGAAGTTGATCAAGTAAAAATATGTGGCGATATCCACTTTCTAATAATTTGCAAGTTTAATTTCCTACCAACATTCTTATTCGATCAGCTGTGAATAGCCCGATTAAATTTAATTTCAAGTGTCAGATTCACCTCGCAAACGTCTCAAAAAAAGCTAACGTTCACTACTTCCCTTAAATGTTTCATTGCAGGATGTTGAGCAATGCAACAGGTCTAGACGTGAGGGTACAGCGCATAGCTCCCCATCACGACTCGTGGCCACTGAAGTTGCAGGCATCATCACAGAATATTCCTTCAAAGTTAGTCTAATTATTATCTTTCCAGTGAAATGAATAAATCTTTTCATAATGCGATTCAGATGAAGTCACAAATTAAGAGTCGTTTAGGGCTTAAAATATCGTTGGAGTACAAGATTTGCTCGTAAACTGTTTACAAATAATTGGATGTAACAAATCAATTGAATTATGTGTCCAATATTCTCAAATTCTTTTTGAATCACAATATATACCGTGTTCCACTGTACCTCGAAACTTCCACGAGGTATATGGTATATGTCCTCGAAACTTCCATGCAGGAAGGCAAAGATGATCTCAAGGGTAATTACAAATTGTTATCACCATCGGTAACTATGATCTTTCGTGACTACAACCACTTGTTATTCAGGACATTGCCATAAACAATTGAATGACAAGAAATCGTCAGATATTCCGACATAAAATCTATAATGCATATTTATTCTGCAGGACACATTAATTTCAAGCCACTAAATTATCCAAAACCACCAACTCGAATAAGTTTTCTCGCCCTAACAATTAATGAGACAAAGCTTCGTGATGCAGCTACAAGGTACATGTGTTTCAACATTAATCACAAACTTGATACGTTAATTGCAATACGTACGGTACTAGATTCACCGAGGCATTGATATGTCCTTTTACCGAGCATAAGTAGGTCTTGATGAACTACAAAAAGCCAAAAGTGCATAGCAATTTGTACAAAGTTTCGCTCATTTCTCTGATTGTAATAATAATTCCTATATCGTATCTCAATGTTCAGCACGGACTTGTACGTATACGGAGTGTCGACGACAAGCCAGGAGGTGGTGGCCGCAGCACTGCTGAAGGAGGCGCTGAGTTCCAACATGCACGCCATCGTACCTCGGGGCCTCAGCGTCAAGGGTCTCAGGACCCCGCAGGTCAACAGGGAGAGCGCCTTACTACAGGTTCGCCATAAGATTTGTCGGTTTATTCGGAGTTAAGCATTTGTAAGGTTATAACATTTTACTAATGCTCGAAAAAAAGCGTGCCGTGGTCCTTTAGTATAATATTTTACCTAATGCAAGAAGAAAAACTCATTCCACAGGCTTGTGTTCTAATATATTAACTTATACAAAAACACATACCGAAATCTTATGCTATAATATTTTAACTGAAGAAGGAAAATAACTCGTGTCGTAGGCATTTCGGGTTGGGTGCGTCGAATGCATTTGGGATTATTATGTATTCGCCAGAGGTGGAAATGTTTTTTCTTTTGAGATTTAGAAATTTGAAGTTGATTTGGCAAAGAGGGCATTTGGAAACTTTATGGTATTTCGCCATAAAGTTACTAAAAATTGCTGTTTCAAGGTCACTAGAGATGGTCTTTTTAAATTCCGAAGGCAAACTATTCAGAAGCTGCGCATTCACGGCAACTGACATTTTACTTCTCATTTCGTCAAGCTTTGCAATGCATTGAGAAATCAGTGTAATTGGTAAATTTACAAGAATAATGTTGAGCAAATGAAAATTTACGTACACCAACCGATGAAGATTATTTTTTTCTTGATACAAATTTATGCCCGTAATATTTCAAAATATTTATTATATATTATATTTACAAAAATATTGTCGATAATCGGTCAAAAGGCGAACAGGATTGGTATCATTACCGGAAATGGGTTATAAATCCCAACAAAATAGCGTCCGGTTATGTACTCTGTAACTAGTTCGTGCTTGAAAACCGGACGCAAAAATAAATGAACTACTCTGCCGGACATTCTAAAAACGTTATGTTAATGTTAGAGTTAGGGTTATGTGTATATAAAACGCTTCTTTGCGTTTCTAGTCCCCTTCCTACAGGGGCTAGGTCCAGCCAAGTTAAATTCTTTTTACACTTTTACAAAGGTCATTTGGTAAAAATAATCATTGCCCGGATAAGTGAAAATATATCTATATTTATATACATTTAAAATAATAATACAAACTAGATTATTTTTATGATGGATTATAGAAGAAACGATATTTGTTCGTATTTCCAGACTCCTGAGCTGGCCATTCTTATAAGCGTGGCGCTGGTGCTGCTTATCACCGTCACGGCGCTAGTGTGTCTGTGTCACAAACAACGCAAGCGGTGAGCCTCTGGAATTCTTAAAACTATTTATTTGAATGGAACTATGTGTGTTATTAGTGGGACGTTTAATTAAATGCATGAAGTGGTGGCATTGTTATTCTGACGTGAAGAATTCAGACATAAACAGATTAGGGTATTGTAATTCTTGGTAATCAGCAGTGTTGTATCTTTAAGATTAGAAAGCTTTTTTTCTTCAACTTTGCATATTTGAATCACTTGATAACATTGATAGCACGGGCGCAATTGTTCTAGTCATTTTATATTTAAAGTCAGCATCGTTCATTTCGACTCCTTTGGGACCAATTTCATTCAGCCTTAAGAGCAGCGGCTGCTTGGAAAGTGGAATCTGATTTCAATTTTATATCTTTGTCGGGATTAGTTCCTCATGAGCGGATTTGCCAACTTGTGAAGTCAAAGGTATATTCAGGGTGGCCGAGTGGTAAAGATCATCAAGATTGGAGCAGCGAATTAGAGATTCGCAACCCGCGATAAGTTGCAAAAATTCTGGTCGAAATTGACAAAAGAGACCGAATATTCAAGAATCGGCGAAAAGCCGACATGGCCTTATCTAAGCTGAGACCACTATATTGTATCATCAAATATTCCATATCGATAACACTATAATAGAATAACATTATTAATAATATTATGTGTCTTCACTTAAGGCGTCGTAAGACTCGTCCCTCTCCCTTCACGGGGGGTTTGTCAGGCGCCGCTGGAGGGGGCATGTCAGTTTTGCCCCTGTCGTTCCCGGTGGGACCTTTACCCTACGCGCACATGAGCGACCGAAGTTCCGCCAGCTCCGAAGACTTGACAAAAGCTGCTTTCCGACGACCACTGCCGGACCGTCTGTCTAAACTGCGGCAGTTTGATGACCACGCGCATTTCGGCGAGTTTCATCTACGCAAGAACCGAAGTTACATGGTCGGCAGGAAGAAGTCTATTCACGACAGCCGAAGGAGGCGTTCAAAAGACGGTGATCTCTGCGAACGAATTCACTCGCACACCGCTGAGGTCAGTTGATTGTTTCAACTTTGCCCTCAATAGTTTTTGAAATTGAATATCAAACATTCACATTATTATACGCAATGTTGTTCTTGTTTAGGGAAGTCGCTAGTATGACAAATTTGTGATTGAAATTCTCTCTCAACTAATAAAAGAATTATCGTTTACTTCACATGCTTCAGATTTTTGACCTTCGTCGAAACTTACTTAAGTTCTTGTTTCTTCACTGATGCCTTATGCGCCTAATGCGCAATTTTACTTTTTTATTTACTGGAATAAAATACAATGAGGCATATCAAACCAAAATATAATTCTACCGAAACGTTACTGCCTTAATAAGCAGATAACTATCATTTATCGCTATCATTTTTTCCGGCTTAACGACAGTTTACATGTCATGATATCCACCGGAATTTACATTGGAGCTTCAGTTTGAAAATAAGTAGAGTAATGCTCTTTAATATGAATTCTTTGAAGATAGAAAATCTTCTAATTGTAAACTTTATAATGTAATGATTGTTTTTTTCTTTCAAGCTTCAAGGAATGCAGGTAAGTTGTCAATACTAGATGAAAATTAATTCTCATTAATATGCATCATATTCTTATGAATTGCTAATCAGTACTACCTACGCGGTTACAGTCTGCGACAGGAATGGATTATCTTCATTATCAATTTAATTAGGGTTTCTCGTTCTAATTAGGATTTTCTTTTGCTTATTTATCCTATAGTCCTTTCATCCTTTCGTGGTCAAAGGAAGGAATTGTCATGATATTCTCAATGCCCTTAGTTATTTTTTGAATATACCTGGGCAATAAATTAAAGACCCATACGTAGAAAAGCTGACATTTTCAAAGTTATCTTCCCGACGCAAAGATAACTCGCACAACGAGATCTTCCAGCACAATGATATCTAACAAGAAAAGATCTTCCCGACACGAAGATCTTCCTTATAAAAAAAAGTTTCCCGGCGCAAAGATATCCCGTACATAAAAGATCTCCCGTACATGAAAGATCTCTCCTACACAAATTTCTCCCCTACATAAAAGATCTCCCCTACACAAATTTCTCCCGTACAAAATCGTCTTCTCGACACGAAGATCTCCCTTACAAAAAAATATGTTTCTTTCCCGGCGCAAAGATATCCCGTACATAAAAGATCTCCCCTACACAAAGATCTTCCTGACACAAAGATACCTCGCCCAGAAAGATCTACCCGATAAAAATAAAATATAAAAATCTAAACTTTCTACTTATTTATCTGACACTTACTGCCAGGAACGATTTCTAAGCATTCTTGATTTATTTTGTCGCTCCAGTGCTGCGCGACGTTCAGTAGCAGCGGCGCGAACTCAGACGAAGACGGGCTGCCTGTCCGGCGCAGGAAGTCGCCGCGACGGAACTTTGCCTCATCCGGCAACTCGGATTGTAATGACGGGGCCTTCGATAGCCCGGAATTCCGGAGAAGTAGACAGTCGCGTAATATCAGACGACACTGTTGCGCTGACAGGTGAATATTCACTTTTAATGCACTATTGTGTCTTATTAACGACGTTATTGTGAAATAATATTGACTTGAACTTAACGTACTCGATAGCGATTGCCAATTTAATTTTAAAGTAAGTGAAAAATTTCTGCGGTGGCGACTGGGGTGACATCACCAATTGTAGATAAAATGTCAATGTTCCACGTCATTCAGACTGGAGTATATTTTTGTTTTATATATGTGTTTAGTTAATTTTTGAACTATTCATTCTATTTACCAACTATTCTTACTGTGGAAAACTTTTCATTACCATTTGTATATTTTTTTAAATGCCTTATCTCAACAGTTGCCCAAGTCATAACTGCTGCCGTAATCTCGCTGCTGTGGATTGCAGCACCACAACCACAGCCACAACCGTCACCTCACCACAACATCTACGCCACTTCCGCAACAATTCACCGGACTCCCTTGAGCGCAACCCTCACAGCCACCACAATCATCACCACCACCAACATCTCGGTGGTGCAGGAGACCCGCATCACCACCATCATCGCAACCACCACCATTCATCTCTTCACTCACTTTCTCAACACCAAAACCACACAGAAATTCATGGGTCGACACCCGCGCTGCCCACGTACCCATACCCGGGGCCTGTACCGCCACCGGCGCCTCCCATGAAGCCGAGCAAACCAAACGCCTTCAAGAACGAGGGCCCCGTCATCACCATCCCGCGCACGCAGCTGCGTCGACCGCAATGTGAGTAAGACGTAAGGTAGGAGAAGACAAACACAGGAAGTGAGTGTGTGAAGCTAGGGTAGGATTCGTGAGCGGGAAATTTATGTGGGACAATAATCAGGACACGCGGTTGGTGGAACACTGGCAGAGATGATATATTCTGGAGACTTGTAGACTGTAGACTACAGGGACGATAATACGGGTACTGAAATACAGGGAAAAAGTACATGAAAGTTGGAGACAGCATAATTGTCTGTAATACGGTGATTGAGTACCAGCGCTATTAAATTTTGTTCGTAATGTGGAACATCATATTGGACTGTTTCTGGCTCACGGATTGCGCTTCGTGTACTAACTAGACTTGGCTGCCATTACTGCTCGCCAAAAAGATGGTCAATGCTTTGGGGAGCTTCGTGGGTATTCAGATTCAGCGCGATTTCAGAATTACCGACAGATAATTGATATCAGGAAAGTATACAGGGAAGTCTAAATTAAAAACAAAAATAGCTTACAAAATATTGATAACCAATATATAAGCACGAAATAGCTCGTTACTTCGCAAATAGTCAACCAATGATTATGCAATTTTAATATGCTCTTCTAATCGTCAAAACAATCATTTTGAAATCAAAACGAGCGTGCTGTGGTGATTTTTTTCTCCCGATTTTCTATTTTCAGGGAAAATGGCTTATATCTTATTGGAAAAATTGTCGGATTGATCTGCAAACGTGCAATTTGTATTGAATTTTTATGTGTTCTATTTAATTTCCACACTCAATTATTGCAACAGGAAACTGACTCCTAGCTAAGAAATGTTGTAATTTTAACCTTAACAACATACAGATTATATTAATTTAATTTTTTCCGTAAAAAGAATTCCCGATGTTGAAGAACCACAAAATTTTTCAAAATTTTCATGATGGCATGAACTTACGACAATACCGACCAATCTTGAATGAAATTTTGAATACAGTAGTTGATACCTGCTGTTCATTATGAATTTAGTATTTTTTTTGGTAATTAGATCTGGAGGAATGGATGAAGTAATGTAGAGCGACTATTTCTATGGATTGACTATTTAATTGTATGCATTGTTTTATGAAACGTTTCGATTAAATTCCCTGTAGAATATCGAGATAATACGACTTAATTAACTGATGAAATCTATGTTATCATAATTCTATCTGAGAATAAACATATATATATATATACTCTTAGTAAATAAGTAGTGACTATGTTATGAAACTATTTTTGTACTAAGATAGCATTTAAGCAGTAGGTTATTGTGTACTACGCCAAGCCATGGATTGTTAAATTCTAAATAATTCAACTCAAATTTTCCTGATTTTTTTAAACCAACGCAGTATCAGCAGCTCCCGCATCAACAGAAAAAACATACGCCGTCCGTTTCTAACGCACCAAAATATTATTATATTGAGGTACGATATATGCAATACCGCATATTGAAGTTATACAAAATCTTAATATGAACACATGGGGGCAGAAGCACCACCAACATTTTTGATTACATGAGACCACAGAAAAATCCAACTCTACACTCAGAAAATGACTGAATCACGTTGTCCAAGGAGTGACGCACTATCTTACGCACAACAACGGACATTATGTGCTCTTTTGCCAAGCCAGACTGGGTGAGGATGGCGCATACATGGACAAAAACTGCATCGCTATTTGGACAAAGTCTCGCTTATTTCTGTGAGTGAAGCCCACCACAAGTCGCTGTATCATGTCTACCAGTCAACAAAATCATGAGCAGCAGTGGTTAACACAGGAAGCGGTATTACCTTGTATTGTTAACTTGCTTGTATTACATTTCACATCGCAACTTGGGTTTACTAATAATATTGAATAAATAAGTTCCCCTCAAGTCGTATCAGGTGCATAGGTCCATACATGTTAACTAACTTTACCATAAATAGTTACTGGCCCGATAACGGGATAAGTACGTTGTTTATGGCACGGCGCCTAATGAACATCACTCAATTTAGCTTAGCCCTGATTTGTTAACAAATTAATTCAGTTGCAAGTTACACTGTGAATCAACATCGCTAGAATATTTTCCATTAAAAGAAATTAAAAAAGGTCGAATTTGCGCCCGCGAGACATCTTGAATCCCCCAGCCCCCAACATACAAGAAAGGTTCATGTTGGAAACATACCGGACTGAAGAGCTTCACATCGCAGTTATTCATGCAGAAGATGAATAATAACACGCCGAACAAGTAGATATTTTGACGTGCATATAAACGATAAACAACATTCAGATGCTGATGAAGAGGCCGCCAATTCATGTAGCATTAATTAAAATGAATTAATGAATTACTGAAAATAGTAGAAGCGATTTCATGCTCAGATTTAAAGAAATATGAAAGCAAAGTATTTATCGTCCTTTGAGTTGCATTAAATATTTCCGGGAGATTATGATCGCGCATGGACACGCGATCAGTTAACAATAACTGACATAGAAATAGCTTTTGTATTAGTGACGTAATTAAGCTTTCGAATTACGAAGAGAATTTCAGTTTCATTTTAATCAGTGTAATTGGGAAGAGAATATTTTAGCTCTACAATAAATTTCAGAATGAATCGAATTCATCGCAACTAACGAGCTCAGCATTCATCAGAAAATATGGTGGTAAAAAAAATTGCTATATAGGTAGTAATAGAGAGAATGAAGAAGGCATACGTACCGAGAACAAAAATAGTATTTAGTTTCGAAATGAAGTTTATGCAAAGAAGAGGCCACGGAAATTATTTGGTTGACTTGACTACAAATAATACTGCTGCATAGAGAGAATCTTAGAGTCAACTACTCACGAGCTGTTGCATCGCAGGCTTATTCAAGTAATTTATATTGCCAATTTTACGCTAACGATCTGACAGAGAATTTTTTCATCAGATACTTTAATCAGACCGTTAAAAAATAAATTTCAACAATTTTAAATAATGGGGAAATGTCACTGTCGGCAGTGGACGCGTTTGGATAAATATTTTTGAAACGTCAATAATTCATGATTTTCATGAATTACGACATTGTAAATCAAAGACGTAAGCAAATGTTTTTCTTAACACAAAAAAAGGAGTGCTGAATGGTAACTGCTCTACAATTAACAAGCAGCGATAAAAAACACATCGGTAACATTATTGCCAATACATAAGTAATGACAACAGCAACCTGGGAGCCTAATAATAAATAAATCATAGCCAATATATAACAACAATGACGTCTTGGCAATGAGCAGCAACTATGTAAAAAATGTTTTCTGTTAATATAAATTGGTCGCCAACCGTGAGCCGTCACACAATGTGTTCAGAATTGTATGTTATTCATCAATGTATCAAGTTATCAATCAGATACAAGAGGAAATGATGGTTTCAGACAGTCACCGTATTGAAGCTGAATATTCGGAAATAACTCGATCATTTCATAGAGGAAAAGAGTTTAGAACAGGAACTGTGTAAATTATTTCTAATTGGAACATATTATTTCATATTGGAACCCCGTCAAAGTAAATTGACGTGTAAACTTGGCAGTTAACATCAGAAAGTATTGCTAATATTTAATGACTGAAACAACCACTGGCAACCAAGACACGAACTGAAACTTATTAACAAATGGTAACATGAGCGGCTTGCTACTAAGATACTCGGTACACTTTCAGTGGAAAACTCGCCAGCATTAGAAAATCAAAAAGTTATCCTGCAAGTGCCGAAGAAAATCTACTCTTTCAGTCGCGAAGCTTCAGAAAACATTCATGTACGTAATAGGATAAAACTAATACATGAATACGATGAATGTTATAGGAGAGACATGCTTTTCCTATTTTAATATATGAACAAATCAACTCAATAATATTCCCGTACCAACACGCGCAAAAATTCCTTGTGCGACACTCAGAAGTAAGGAAAATCACAGGAATTCAAAACCAATACAGAAAATAAGAAACAATGATTAATGAATATTTATAACAGTATTCACAACAATGATGTGCGCAGATAAGGTTAAAATAAGCTTGAATAAAATATTCATTGCAACTCTCCTTCAAAGTTAAATTAAACAGAAATTATTATGTCACTGAATCCGAGTCCATGTTAATGCAAGAAATTATTCTAAACGCTTTAATGAAGAAAAATTACAAAAAATTGTGTTCTAGAAGCAAACCTACTAGAAGAGATTAAATTCAATCAGTGTTTAATCAATCACCTAGAAATGGTACTAAGTGTGCAAATTATTTGATTATGAAATTAATCCATAATATGAATGGAATGTCTTCAATAAATAATGAATCAGCAATGACTTTGATCACTTTAGGGAATAGAGATAACTTTGCACAGCATCGACAGCTGATTAAACTTCACTAGGTACAAACTAGCACCGCGGCTGGTAACTTAGGCAAACATCCAACATTTGGTGCCAAAATGTGCTGAACTTCCTAAAAGCTTAAGTATCCTAGATGTCCAAGTTCATAAGAAAGAATACTTACAAAAAGAAAAATGGTTATTTTTACAATTAAACACACTAATCACAAAAGAAGACCAACTGGTATATCCTCGCAAAAATAATTACTTAAAAAATACAATGAATAAAACATCGGTATGTGAAAAAAGCCAGTGCACCGCTCAAAAAAAATACCGCACCTCAATAAATGTGTTTCTTCTTGCAATAAACATTAAAGCGAAACACTCGAGCTCAAGTAAAACCATTTAGCTACCGCAGCTTAATTTAAATAAACAAGAGTCTTCACGAATCGGCTGAGAAAATGGATAAAGATGCTGACAATTCTGGCGACATAATTTTTCTAAATTTTTAAGGTCGAATGCGATGCGAGCCTATCAATGAGCAGAGTCGAATCAAATGGGTCAAAAAGATTTCAGAAACACAGATTGGCTTGCCAATTATACAAGTTGTCATAGGAATCGTGGATTAAGAGAGACAACAAATTCCGGTACTGTACTGATCTCGTTGCGATTATTTCTAAGAGTTACAAACGCAATCCAACTTTATCACAAAATAAACCATAAAAGCCATATCTTCAGTCATTGAAGACAGCTAGAGGTGGAGAAAATTGTTGAGTTTAGATGTTATATCCAGGAGAACTTCTTGCATCTGTGCTCGATCAGCTTCTTGTGTGTGTCAACTATGAGAAATGTCTGATTTAATTGATAGCTTCTTCACTCACTTCAATTATTTTTACTCACTTTCTCACTTTTTAGGCGCGCACAAAGCATCGATACATCGAAACAACAGTGACTAGAAATAATAGGAGTTTAACAACCGGTTCCAGAACAGGAAGGGGAATAGTTGCATATATTATTCAAGAGAAATACAGCTAAAGCGGTAAAAATGTTATACTAGCAAAGAGGCATTTTCACGCATACATACCATCGGTTTACGTCGTGTTTGTTTTCATGAGCAAAATAGGCGATAGGTTGAACAGAAATCGCTGGTATATCCCATCATATAAGACATTATTTATTACTTGCGCAAGAGGAATTTGAATCATCGTGGAATTCTGCTGAAAGTTCATGAAAAACTCAGAACTGCAGTTTGAGTGCGGCGACGAATGTGGCGTACAAGACAAGCGATTCTACAAATGAAATAGTACCTAATCCTATTTGTTTATATTTATGTGCGTCATTTAGTGTTCATATATAACGAGAGCTTGCACTTAAATTATTTATTAAACTTTGGGAGATAGCCTGGGAAGCTCCAGTTGATTAATTAAGAACTAGATGAGGGAGAATCCATGTAGATAATATCCTGGAGGTCGCTTCTACAACTGAAGTCGTTTCAACAACACCAACGTAAGCAGCAACGACATAACACGGCATAATGAAGTCTTCATGAAAGCTCACAAGTAGAGAAAGACAGCAAGCAACATGGTGCGTGCCACGATTCTAGCGCCACCTACTGGCGGTACACGAAGACATCAAAGTGACTAAGAAGAGCGGCAAACAAACCTTTCATGCAACCGTTCTCCTATTTTCGTTAGTGGCAATAACAGGAATTTTTTCCAATTCGCTTCATACAGTTTGTAGAGAAGTATAACTAAGATCCCAATCAAATTTCCTAATAATTTATCATACATGCCAGGTACAATAACTTCAAAAAGTGCGAAAACGCTAACGATCGTTTTGCATTAGCCACTATAAGGTCACTACAGAGACGACAGCGACAAGACTAAAGAGAATCAGGCACTAGAGAGCAACTTTGGTGCAGTTCCTGATGAGGGCAAATGAATGGCCGGAGCCTGCAGCCAGCAGCAGCACTTTGCCATTCACGGGCACGCGTCGGGGCATGGTTACGTTGGCAGTTGTGCCCAGACCGCAGTTGCCGTGCTCGTTCCAGCCCCAGGAATAGATACCGGCAAGCCTTGAGTTTGCTTGGTATGGCGTCGGCTCGTCTTGTTTTCTTGGCGACTGACTGGGCTCTAAATGCGGCCCGTCATCGAGAGGAAGGTCACTTGTGGATTGTAAGGCCGCTGTGGACACGGTGCATGGTAAGGCTTCGCTGGATTGTCTAACTCCACTGCCATCACTTACTCTAGGCTGGATCTGACTAAGATTCATAGAGGGAGGTTGCAGTGATAACGCTCTTGGGGTGTCGATGGGGGACAATGTACAGGGTTCATCGAAGGCCTCAGGTTTAAGGCTCTTGACGCTGGACAGAGACAACTGACAGGCGTGTTGCGTCATCACGACGTCACTCGGAGGGGAGTTCGAGACACCAAGTTCGGCGCGGCTGAAGCTCTCCTTCAGTGCCGAGCTACTGTTGCTGGCTGTAGACACAGAGTCGCTATCAGTGGCGACAGTTTCCAAAGATGCTGAGTTGATGGGAGACGCAGGACTCAGAGATGAAGAAAAGATGGACGAACCTGGAGGTGTCTGCCTAGAAAAGTTGTCGAGGCCTCCTCCGTTGTCTATTCTAGGCAAGGTGTCATGTTTGCGTTTATCGTTGAGGCTCTGAAGCAGGAGGAAATTAGGGGATGTTTTTGTGGGCAGGGATTGTCTCCTCAAGAGCTGCTTGCTGCCGCGATGTGGTGCATTGGGAGGCGCGGAGAGAAGCAGGGCTAACGTGTGCTCCGACCCACACACTAGCTGGTCTACTTCATAATTTTTGTTGACAGTCAACAAACTAGGAATAAATCTGAAAAAAAAAGATTAAGCTATCAATAATGCATCTATAGTGAAGGTCGATCTTACTTTAGATAATTTAGTGCCCAGTCAACCAACTGTGAATTCATAAACAACCTACCAATCAGCTTTAGGGGTAACAGGCTATACTGGGTCAAACTTGGGCCTGTTTAGTCAGTTCAGTTATTGTTATACCGACCTATTTTCATGGCTAAAATAATAGTTAAGGCATTGTTTATGCCTACGGAACATAGCGAAGCAGACTTCTGCTAGAAGCATTGTTTTAGTATTATCTGAATAATCCGTGCTTCGTTGGCTCAATTAGCAAGATCACATACCTACAGGAAAAGATCTTTAAGCAAAAGTCATCGTAAAAAATAAATTCAAATTCACACATATGCAATATATGCAAAGTGCAACTTTTATCCTCATCGCTACATCTAAATACGTAACTATTAATAGGAGAAAGTTTCAAAATCTGAGTTGCAGTCAAGGAATGAGTTGCAGTCAAGGAATGAGTTGCAGTCAAGGAATGAGTTGCAGTCAAAGAATGAGTTGCAGTCAAAGAATGAGTAACATCAAGTTTCTGTTGAAAAATTGCACGGGATCGTCAGGGGGCACGTGAAGAACATCAAGTTTCTGTTGAAAAATTGCACGGGATCGTCAGGGGACACGTGAAGAACATCAAGTTTCTGTTGAAAATTTGCACGGGATCGTCAGGGGACACGTGAAGAACATCAAGTTTCTGTTGAAAAATTAGAGTGAATGTGATAAACATCAAATCAATATTAAGAAAATTCTTCTACATCGTCAATATGCACAAATATAATTCTCATTTGATAAATTCGATGGGATTACAAGATAAAAACGTCAAATTGCTCTAGAAAACTTTGCCTGATTTTTTCGAGTTCCGGATGCCTTATCAGAAAATGAATTTCATTAATCTAAATTTATATGTACATTTGTTTGCATTATATAGCAAAATAAAAAATGTATATATCTGCAGACGCACTTATCGATAGTATATATGTGCGCATTGATCATTCAACTTCTGGATCATTCAACTATAAAAAATTATAATACAATTAGATTAGTCAGAGGCGAATAGATTGTCTGGTAACTTTATGGACACAATTGAAAATATATGTACAAAAATTACACAAAACAAATTAAAAACATTAGTAGCCAATATATAGATCGTAATCGTAAAACAGAATTCAATAATTTGTTAAAGCCTATTAATAGATAAAAATCTAATTACAATAAAACAGAATTCAGTAATTTGTAAAAGCTTATTAATAGACAGAAATCTAACCACAATAAAACGTAATTCAATAGTTTATAAAAGCGAAAATATAGTTTGTGATGAATGAGTTCATGGAGGAGAAGGGGGGATGCAAACCTAGGGTCATGGGCTAGTTGCCCCCACTTGTTATCCCCCCAGGCGAGTAGGATGCCTTCGGTAGTGATGGCGTAGGTCATGTTCTGGCCACACCGCACTGAACGAACCTGAAATATCACAAACAATTGCTTTGGATGTACAGAAGCTAATTTATAAATAAATCTGTTTAAATGAAATATCACAAATAATTGCTTTGGAAGTACAGAAGCTAATTTTATAAATAAATCTGTTAAAATGAAATATCACAAACAATTGCTTTGGAAGTACAGAAGCTAATTTTACAAATAAATCTGTCAAAATCAGTAATAAATCATAAAAAACAGTCAAGAGAAATAATTTTAGCTTAATGAATACAGAAGTATCACACTGGACTGAACGATACTGAAATGTCACAAACAATTGCTTTGGAAGTACAGAAGCAAATTTTATAAATAAATCTGTTAAAATCGGTAATAAATCATAAAAAAACATTAACCAAGAGAAATTATTTCAGCTTAATGAATACCTACTACAGAAGAAGTACGTCGTAAGTTTATGTCCCTTACAAATGCACTAAAATTACATTAGTGTATTTTTATAAGAAATTAATTGAAATTAGTAATACCATAAATCAAATAAAATCAGTTATCAAGATGAAGAATATTAGCTTAATGAGCACTTAAGTACCGTACCCATAAAACAATGACCCAACCAGATATATAAAAACAATTGCATTGTAAAAACCAACTTAATTTTGTGATCAATTCAGTTTAAATCAGTGAACAAGATGAAGAATATCAGCTTAATGAACGCCACACTGACTGGACCTGAAATAGGTCCAGACCTATATTATAATAATAATATTGGCCAATATAATAATAATTTTGACAAACAGAAAGCAAATTCAAGAGGAAAGCAATAAAAAATAACAAAAAGGGAATAGCATATTAGCCTGACAAGCTTTAAAATACAAAACTTCCACTAGGGTGCAGAACAGAATATAAGATAGTAGAATATTGGTCTGAAAAACACTAAAATATAAAATATCCACTAGTGTGATTGAATTTTTCTCTGTAATGGTTACCAAAAATTGTAACATGTATAACTTTTTCTCTTTAATTGTTACTACCAAAAATCGTAACGAGTAGGTACCTCAATACATAATATAAACATAAAGACACACACCTTGGCCTCAAGGGTGGTGAGTAGTCTGGGCACGGCGAGTGTCTTGAGCATGAGGCCATCGTTATTGAGGTGCCCCAACTGGCCTCTGTGGCCCTGTCCCCATGTGTACACCGCACCTGTTCTGAGCATTCAAAATGATCAATATTTATTTGCATATCACAGAATAAAACATGCTTCAATATAAGTTCAATTTTTCAAAATAATCAACATCATGAATAACAAAAAATATTTGCAAATCTGATATAACAAATAACGTTACTCACGTGGAAATTAAGCTAATAATGCTCAACTACTAAGAAGTGCAAAAAAAAAGTTTAAAAGTTAGAGCATTGGCATTGTGATCACTTGGGCCTAAATAGAACTAAATAAGGAACTAAAGTTACAAGAACTAAATGAAAGTAAAGCTAGATACCTTGTAGAAACAACAGTGTGTCTCAGGCCAGCAGCAACACAAGTTACGTTGCTCAGCTCCAGACAGATAGGTAGACTTGAGAAAGGCACCTGGCAGATAATAGACTCAGAAAATTCATTCCTTCATTGACAAATTCAATAGATAACAATTCAGGTATTAAATTGTTGAGAAGTAAATTTTGATTGTCGTGATCATGATTGAATATGAAGAACTTCTGTGACACTCATAGATCTCATTTGCAGGAGGAAATGTCTAGTTTCACTCACCATTTTTTATGCTCAAAGTGTACAAAGGAAAATGTGAATATGCACACTTTTATCCCTAAAACAAAAGTGGATGTTCCTTATTGGAATATTTATGCTAAATCTCAATAGTGGTTGCTGGATAAATTCACATAAATTCATCCCCCCCAATAAAATATGTGAAGGAAGGTATTCTCATTTTTTCCGTCATATAAATAGCAAGTTATTGACAAATAAAATGGCCCATTAGGAATATTGATAAGCTTTAGTTAAACCAAGAGAGAAATTTATCCTAACCTCATCAGGAGGCAGGCCGAGCTGACCATGGGAGTTGCTACCCCACACCCAGACGTGTCCTGAAGCACTGCATGCCACCGAGTGTGCCCAGCCACATGCCACATCCACAATAACTTGGTCCTCCAGACCCCGGCACTCTCGGAACAGTGGCACACATCGACTGGCACTGCCTTCCCCAACCTGTAATGTATTACGGTTTTACTATAATTATCAATGGATCGGATAGTAGATTATTTACCTAAATTTGATAAATTTACTATAACAATCAATGAATCAGATTAATAACAATAATTTGCACAAATAGAGCTTACATGAACTGAAATTTGATGTGCAAGGCTAATTGAAATTGGGAACATTAAATGGTGAAGGTAGAATAAATGGGAGCTGCAATTGGAAAAAAAATTTAAATAAAAACCATGTCAAAAAATGTGGCAACCAATACAGCAATGCAACAAAAGTGAATGTAACAGCATCAAAAAAGGAACTAAAGACATACGTACCTATATCACATCATACATACCGTACCTATATATGAAAATATGGCATGTGACTCAAAAATCAACATAAAGACAATTCATATATTGAAAATATTCTTGTATTACTATTACTCATCAAGAATCATGACAATTTACATTATAGTTACCTGGCCACAGTTGTTCCAGCCAGCCCCAAATAGAGCTCCAGAGTTGGTGAGGATGAGTGTGTGACCTCCTCCACCCACAATGCATGTGATGGCCGACTCGCACAATTGAGCAGGAAGTTCATCCACTCGCTGCGGTTCACATATCTATGCACAAATTGTGAAGTTTTAATGATCTTTATTGGTGCTATGAAAAAAATACATAAAAGGATTCGCTCAATGGTTTTGATTGCATTGCATATAGCAGTAGTAGTAGTAGTAGTAGTAGAATGGTTTACCAAGGTTCTACTGTAAATGTAATTTTAGGGGTGTCCCTTATTACCCTGTTTTGTGGAAATGGCCACCATTTTTTCTTGGAATGAGATATGCAAATTCTGTCAATCGTGTTTTTAAGCCAACACCAATGTGCAACTTTTATATAAGTAAAATTTTTCAATCCAACAAATACGTTTTCTGCTACAGACCTTAGCAGAGGTACTTTTCCAAAATCTCACTTTTTACAATTTTTTTCAGGGTTTTTTTAGAGGTACCGTAAAATGGGGTAACTTAGACCACTTTTTTTTTTACTAGCTAAATTAAATTTGAATTGAAACATGCAAAATACAGGTCTATACTCTAGCTTCACTCACCATAAATTGCTGGCTCCTGCCTCTCATAGTCNGATGTTTCATCATTGCTGGGGCATAGTGTGGTGTTTTGAGAGTGACGTAAACCCTGTCTCTTATACACATCTAGATGTGTATAAGAGACAGGACAATGAGAGGCAGGAGCCAGCAATTTATGGTGAGTGAAGCTAGAGTATAGACCTGTATTTTGCATGTTTCAATTCAAGTTTAATTTAGCTAGTAAAAAAATGGCATCATTTATAAAAATGAAAGTGGTCTAAGTTACCCCATTTTACGGTAACTCACTAGAGGGGCTGAAATTTACTGGGCCATGACACGATTTGCGTTTTGCAAAGCCAACTCTTCAACTGTTGAGTTTCCTTGTTATTTTATTAGCTGACACCTACCGGTGACCGCCGGCAGCTCACCATCAATTTTGGCGTCCTCGGTGTCCGGTTACTGAAGGATATTGGCGTCCACCGTCTATGTAGGTTTGCCTTGGAGTCTTTTGGTTAGAAAAAGGCATCCTCGACCTATGTTGTGCCATGCTTTACAGTCTGGACCACGACATTGGAACCATGGTTAGATTAGGTTTTTTTGCCGATTTTGCCAATTTTTGCCTGATTTTTTTGACGAATTTGAGCCTTGGGGAAAAAAATCAGTTTTCTGATGCCGAACGCCAAAAACGGATTTCAGATTCTTTATCTACACCCCAAAAAACATATATTTAAAAAAATAAAAACACCCTTTTTTGGATGCACTTAATCTAAATTCTAAAGTATTACCAATAAATGATTTAACAATGATTTCTGACAATTCTTTCTGATATTCATGAATGACATGCAATTTCTTAAATTTGAAGATTAAAATAAGCCAGAGCTTAGACTTCTTGCCTTACTTTCTTTGAATGAAATTTGTCAAGGGCCATAGGGCATAAAGACTTGTGAAATTGAATGCAAACACAGATGTTTCTATCTTATTTAAAGGTGGTTTCTACCCTACCCAATGCTCAATTATTGAAGTATGGCAAAATAATACATAAAAATTTTATAACCAAGTAGCCTAGCTAGGCTAAAGCTAAACTGTCACATTTTAGCCAGTAGGTACCTAGCTAGGCTAATCACTAAAAATTACAATGGCAAACCAAACAAATGATCATTTATATCACAAATTTTAGAAGAACTATGCCAAATATTTTAGCTGTGAGGCTATGAAAGAGATTCACAGCAATCAGTCTACCTGGTCTTGAAATAATCTACTTTTAAAATGGCATCCAAACTCCAGTCTTTAAAGTGTTAAATTAAGCTTACCATCTCATTGCAGAAACCGAGCCCCAGCTGTCCATGACTATTAGCTCCCCAGGCATAAAGGCCAAGCATGGTTGGAACCTCATAGGCCAATTTAAGTGAAGAATTTACCAAAAGGAAGAACGCACGTGCCGAAACCCGGCAAATCTCTTCAACTACTACCTACTACGACGCATAACAATACAAATGGGAGAGGTCCGACCTACTTCCAGATTGGTTCCTTCAACTCTATAACCTGCGGAAATGCGGATGACAATAGTCCAATACGACTTGGAATGAGATTGTCGCTTACTACGGCCCTATTAATCAAAGGCTTCAGTAAAACTTGTGTAAATTTACATATATCATTAACAAAAAACAGAACACCATTTTACTTCTCACCGCTTATATAGAGACACTAATGTCTCGAAATTTCAAGTTGACTAAAATTTTGAAAAAAAGAATAGAAGTGTAGAAGTGTCCGCACTGAAAGAAATAGGCCCATGGCCTGTTGCCGATTCTTGTACGTTTCGTGACTTGATTCACATGGGATCCGGCCTTTGGAACTCGATCTTTCCATAACTGACGATTGATCGAGATAGCTGCTGGACCTATTGCCTGGTCGGTAAGGTGCTAGGCATTCCAAGACTGAACGTATGCTCCTGCATTGCTTCGTCTAGTCTGTTCTTGAAGGCGTTCATACTCGAAGCGTCAACGATGCTATCAGGAAGTCTGTTCCACATATCGGTGACTCGAAGCGAGGAGAAATGTTATCGCATGGATGTGTTACAACGCAGTTTTTTTAGTTAGTAGTTGTGGCCTCTGGTGTTAGTTTTTGTTTCAAATTCTAGTAATCCTTCTGGGACCTTGTATAAACCGTGGGAATACTTGTATACTTCAATGAGGTCACCACGCAGACGTCAATAAAGGAGGATTGAAAGATTCATAATTTTCAATCATTCTTCATAAGGCTTGCCTTTCAATCCCGGAATTATCCTTGTTGCACGTCTTTGAACGTTTTCGACTAAATTTTTGTCCTTTTCTAGTTTTGGTGACCACATTGAATTGCCAAAATCCAGATTCGGACGCACAACAGAGACACACAACAGCTTCATCGCTTCAGCATCTATGAACTCGTACAAGCGTCTGGTCAGTCCATCGTGGCGCACAGTGTGACCGGGCGGTCGTGCGACGATGCAAAACAAGTGGCCACAAAACAAAGGGCAGGGTGCCCTAGTGGTTAAAGTTCAGAGTACCAAGATTGGAGCAGAGAGGCGCGGGTTCGATCCCAGCTCTGTGCGCCAGTTTCTGGTCAGAATCGGCAAGGAGGCTGGGCGGTTAAGCAAAGTAGAATTTGAATCAGTGAGTTGTGAGCTCCAAGTATGAACGCGTTCAAGAACAGACTAGATAAAGCTATGGAAAAATATATGTTCAGATTTGAAATGCCTAGCTCCTTATCGAACCCGGTGGTAGTCTAGTAGCTACTTCAAACTATCGCCAGTCATGAAAAGATCCGATCAAATGATACGAGTTTAGATCTATGAACAAGGCACGAAAAGGAAAAGAATCGGCTACAGGCGACATCAGGCCTACATTTCAGCGCCGACATCATTATGTTATGTTATGTTATCACTCTGTCGTTGCAACCAAACCATGTCTTCTCACACTGTAATCTTGCTGTTCATATTATTCTTCCCAAGGTGGATTACATTACACTTTTCAGCATTAAAACACAGCTGCCACTTATCAGCCCCGTCAACCAAAATGTCAAGATCACCCGTCAACAGTACTTTTTGCGACGTATTCCTCACTGTATTATAAACTTTTGTGTCGTCAGCATACATAGAGCACACACTAAACACAGCTTCTGGCAGATCGTTTATAAACGCAACGAATAAAACAGGCCCGAGAACGCTTCCTGGTGGCACGCCGCTGCGCACTGGAGCCCAGTCTGATACGGTCCCATTATTACTGATACGTCGTCGTCTCCCTACTAGAAAGTCTCTGATCCATTTGAGACTCTCAATTCCCAAAGACTTCAATTTACGCAACAGTCGCTCGTGTGGGACACTGTCAAATGCCTTGGCGAATTCGAGGTACACTGCATCTACTGGCCCCCTTTCGTCCAGCATGCGGGCTCCCTTTCGTCCAGCATGCGGGTCCATTCATTCAGAGTTGACAAGAGGTTAGTGTTGCGGAATCTACCGGCAAAAGCCATGTTGACCGTCTGATAAGAGATCATTAACATTCAAATTATCGATCAATCGATCCCTCACAACAGGTTCCATTACCTTGCAAACGACACTTATCAAACTTACGGGGCGATAGTTGCCCGGGCAGCTTTTGTCACCTTTTTTGAACAAAGGTGTCACTTGAGCTTCTTTCAATTCAGCCGACAAGATCCCTTCGTTCAAAGTTTTTCGAAAAAATGACGTCAAAGGGCCGGCTAGGACAGTTGCTAACTCTTTGAGTAATCTGGGGTGGAAGCCGTCCGGTCCACATGACTTGTTGGGATTTAGAGCGATCAGCTTGTGAACTTTTTCTTCTTGTATTTCAAAACTTTTTAATTTAGAGCCGACTGGGCACTCCTCAATAGCTGGAATACTGTTCAAGTCCTTTTCAGTGAACACGCTACTGAAAAAACTGATTAAGAACGTTAGCCTTGCCCTCATCAGAGGATATCTTTCGTTGATATATTTTAAATCAGAAATACCGTTCACTGTGTTGCACGTCGAGCTAGCGCATAAAAATAAAGCTTTCGTTTTTTTTGCATTTATGGCAATATTTTTCTCGAAGATTTTTACTGCGGTGCAACAGCTTTCTTCAGCTTGATTTCGAGCTCTTGCGTATAGGTTATAGTCAGCATCGCTACGAGTCTGTAAATAACGCTGGTAGGCTTCTTTCTTGGTTTTCAGCTTAGCTAGAACTGTATTGTTCATCCACTGAGTTCTTTTTTGCTCCACCAAGCTTAATTTTAGGCACACACGCAGCAACTGCAGACATAACCGTGTACGTGAGAAATGACCATGACTCAGCCACATTCATGTTCTTAATATAGTTCGAAATATTCATTGCATTCACTGCTTCATGGAGTTTATCATAGTCGCCTTTCGCAAAATTCAAACGCTTACGCTTCGGAGGCGTCTTGTCTGCACAGCATTTAAGACTGAAAAACAATGATTGGTGATGGCTTTTGCTCAACGGAGCCTCGTGACGAAGCTCATCTAACACTGATTCATCACTAGTAAACGCCAGGTCTAGAATATTGGGAGTCTGTTTACTTCTATAATGGGTTGGTTTGGTAACGTGCTGGACTAGGAAGGAGGCTCTCACTGACTCCATGAAAAAGGATGCTGGGTGATTCTCTTCCCTTGGAGAGGATCCATCTATCCAGTCTAGCTCTGGATGATTAAAATCACCAACGATCAACGTGTGTGACCCACGGAAAGTCATGCTCGGTACATGAGTGTTTAGTACTTTATCGTTATCAGAGGAACTGTTTGGTGATCTATACACGACACCTATGAGGAGGCTATCTTTGCCTTTGAGAGAAATTTCGCACCACACTTATTCTCTAGCTGATTGATGTTATGCAGATAACTTGACTGGCCTCTGCTATAATCTCTGTTCTGGCCCCAAAAGAGGTGCTAACCCACAAAGCTACACCTCTACTGCACTGCTCTTCATTCAAGTTATGAAAACAATCAAAACCTGGCAACTAAAATTCAACAGGTACAATATTCAACCCGTGATTTTTAGGGAGTGTTTCTGTAATACATATAATGTCTATGCACTCGTTTTCGATTACAGTTAATACTTCACTTATTTTGTTCAAAACGGAATCCGAGTTCGTGTAAAAACATTTTAAAACTTTTTGTGCACTTCCACTATGATGCATGCGTTTACTTCTTACATTATTTACAGGCCTGGATCTGGATCTATTACATCTATTTTATATTAACATCTATATTTCGTATTAACATCTATTAACATATTAACATCTATTATCTCTTTTGGTATATTGATACCGAGCTCAGTATGTGGAACTTTCTCTGACTATTCTCTCTGTGAGACATAAACCGAATAAAAATTCGACTTTATTGTTCTCGCAGTTATATTCTAGACCTTTAATACTGCCCTGCCATAAATTCTACGAAGTGTTTATCACTAAATTAAACAATACAGATAAAATAAAGAGACAAAATATAGATTTGATCCACGAGCAGCCTATGTTTTTTCAAATCCCCGGCCTCAGCCTGTCGCCTGGCTTGTGGGTACGGTGTGTAGTGATGGAAATGAAAATACTTGTGTTTCGGTCGTTCAACTAGTTATATTCCAAAATTAGACATTACTTATTTTTAGCGCATTTTCTCATTTATGGGAAAAATGCACTATTGTGCTAGCCATGTCCGTCCGTCCGTTTGTCTGTCCGTCAGTCTGTCTGTCCGTCCTTGACTTCACGTTTACGTCGACGAGAAAATGCGCTCTCTGTCACTCACTGCAGTGAGTACTGAGTTATATTTTTTAGTATTTCTTCTTGACCAGCATGGAGCTTAATAATTCTCATTGACGTTACAATACGTTGCTTGATGAGCTGCTATGATGGTCTGAGTTGCAGCACTACACATATTCATTCTACTTCTGGGACGCGACTTCATGTGTTAAATACTGTACATTCCACAGTATTTACGTACATAACGAGAATACTGTACATAACGTACAGTATTCTCTCTGTACGTTATGATAATAAGATTTACACTGACATTTAAAGAATATAAAATCGGTTGGATTACTTATAGGGATAATATGGATTAGGATTAATATATAATTTCCTAATTACGCCATGAACGAAGTCGTACAGCAGGTAACGGTATGATGACTAGGTTGTGGTTTATTAATTTGTATTTGTCATGTTTTATCGCGAATTAGTACTATCGTTCCACTACAGAGCTTGCGGTGTCTGACTGCATATCCCAGTTGTGGAATTAAGTTATTATGTAAACAGGATTCCTTTTCTCTTCTTCTTTTCTTCTTCTTTTTCTTAAATAGGATATCTTCTGTTTCTCTCATGCGGGTGATCGACGTCTCGCGTGACTTCTTGTAGGAGTGTCTCCGTTTCTGTTGCTTTTTATCCGTCTTGTCTTTTACCATCGTATATTTCGGAGGCTAACTCTGTTTCTTTCTAGCCAGCTTCAGTGGGCTCGGTAATGACTGATGAAGGATTTGAGCAATTTTCCAAAATTTAGAACTATAATGAAGTCCTGTACTTCATGGGTTCGTTACGCGGGTGCATCAAACATCAGCCATCAAAACTGATTTGTTGAACAAGAACAATAATGAAACAATATTGCTAGAAAGAACGACTCTAGACAAGCTGAGTGCCCAATCCAGTAGTTCACAATGGATAACAGAGGTCGTAGCACGTCTCTGGTCCAGGGAGCACGAGAACCACTTGGAATACAAGGTCCCGGAGGCAGCTCACTCTCGTGACCCGCAACCCTATATTGGAAATAAATACTTTCATACTGACTGATATTACTCACTTAAGCACTTGCATAACAGATTCTAAATGTGATTACTTTTCAACCAATTAACATGAAACAGAAATAGCTAATTTACTGTTAGGATACATTTGGTCTAATACAGCAGCTCACCCATAAAAGCAGTGTAAGTTGACCCAAAGCACCGCAGGAGAGCGACGCAATATAGGTCAACTAGGCCTAGAAATGGATTGCTCACAGTAGGACTGCCTCGTAACGACGGACCTAACGCACGGTATGGTCTCTCGTAAGAACGATTTCCTTTCGGTGCCTTCTAATATGTAACTAACAACCTTACAATAACTTACTTCCTGCGATGGAGGTTAGTTCTAACACGTCCAACATTACACACGTCCAACGTTACATCCGGGACCAGAGGGCGGGGCGACCTGCCTAGCAACGACTCAGGGACGGAGGACGACGAAGGCGGCGCATCAGCGTGACCGGGAACTATGAAGTCCCGAACTCATCATAAGGTCATAAAGTCATAAGGATGTTAATTTTAAACTTCAGATACGAAATAGATTACTAGCTGAACACTAGTAAATCATCACCCTCGTACTTCTTAACTAATGCATGGGTTAACTCGCACATGAAAATGTATATTTCATTTATACTTAAATAGAATAATATAAACCAGAAATTTATGCTGGTAAATTTCATTTTCAATCATTGGTCAATAAAAGCTCTATACAAAAATAGCAGACCCAATTACTACGACATCTCATCCCAGTTTTACTTTCAAGCGTTCGAAAGTTGGACAAAGAAATTCAAATGACTTCTATTCTAGGCTGCTTTCTTTGCAATCATTTTCATCTTTATTAGTAATTCAACTCACACAAACACGATAATATGCATTCGACGCCTTTATTTCAAGCTGATCATTTTATTATTAAAATTCATCTTTTTAATCTTTTTAAAAACGTGGAATAAAAATAGTGCTAAATTAAAGGGATTGTGAGTAACTCCTTGCAACACAGGAAATACAAAAATCTCGAAAACATATTTTAGAATCCGATGTCAATAAATATATATGACAAACAATAGCATTATACACGAGGCTTTCAATTAACATCATATTATTTTTTTGTCGCTTTTTCGGCGATGTTTTCGGAAATTTGTTCATCTTTGATGATCAATTGATGAACAATTCAGATTCCTGGTTAGATGCCAACATTTCGACAGAAGCAAACATCTATCAAATTAAAAACAAGAACCTTATTTATTATACACGTTTTCAATAGGAATATGAACTTTGATTTTTACTTTGAAGTTCGATAAAAAAAAGTCTTATCCAGATTCTCTGCCATGCGTCGCGTGTGACAGACGGAGGATGGGTCTAACGTTTTTACCTGGGGCGATACTTTCAAAACTGGCTAAGTGAACGTAATTACTTACACTCAATTTTCTTATCTTTGATTGGTGGATTTTGCTTGAAAGGCCGCCAATGATTGGCTGATGAACTTACGATCTCTTAACTTTTTTGAAAGTATGGGCCCTGATCTCTTTGAACGTCTGCCGCGCGGGCTCGTCCTGCAGTTGCATACTTCCCCTCGTGAAGAGAGCATTACAATCCCAAGCCTTATTTAAGAGCAAGAACGCTAACTTATAAAGGTGAGTTTATCTCTTCATCTCGTGTCCTGTATAAGAGATTTCATTGGAGTTAAGATATATTATTTTCAATGTATAAAAATGATAATTATTTTGCACATTTAACTGCGTATGTAAATCACGCTTCGTTCTATCATTATTGTGATAATGTATTTATGATATAATGAGAGAACAAGTTTTTAACGTTATAAACCTCGCTATTTGCCGACATCGTTAATTCGGAATTAACGGAACAATTTTCAGAGTAATAAATAATCATTAATTCAAGTTTTGAATCAATCCGATACTTCATCCATTGCTATCGACTGTGAAAATAAGAATATAATAAAAATACACCCAACAGCTGATAGGGTTTCCTAAAAATTAACATGCTAATTCATTATGTATCATACATCTACATGTATTGCTAGTAAGCATATATGTATGTAATAGGTATTTCTCTAAAAGAAACGAATATAAGTCGAACTTAATTATTATTTCAAATAAATCTTGCTTGAATTATATCCTGGCACTAGTTTTTAGAGCTCAAGAAAGAAATATTATTTTACTCTAGTCACTTGCTTCATCCTGTTCATTTAATTCTCTATCTTTCTCTGTCTTAATTAAAAAACTAACTGAACTAGCTGTACTAACGAATTTGTTATTCAATAAACTGAATTAATTCAGACTTTGTTGCTTGCTCGTAGCCCCATTTTTACTAGAAAGTACTCCGCCAAAACTCAAGTTGCGATCTCCCACGATAATTCTCTCCATTTTTTTTTCTGAGAGAAAATTTTATTGAATTTCCTGAATTATTTGTAAAATGCAAGTTGAAGCAGTGTTAGGCCCTTGATTTTTCAAATAGCAATGATTTTACTGAATGTTAGTTCCTGTTTTGAATTAAATAAAATTATCTAATTCTGATTTTACCTCACACATATGATTGTTTACATATTCTGTTAATGACTAAAACACTCTACATGTGTTAAAGCTTATTTGTTTATTTACTTTCTTGGAATTTTTACGCTTGAATTTGACTTCCACACCGAAATGTTTGCATGGAAATAGTCAACCTCACAATTAAGAAAATGGAGAAAATCACGGTTCCATGATGGCATTATGCGAAATACCTTAACATAAGAAAGGAGGACAAAATCTCGGTAATCGTTTCCTTTATTGCTGCTAACCTGCCTAACCGGGAGAAAGCTGTGCACTCACAGATCGCCATCATTTTTTTCATGTTGTGTACTAGAACACGTGGTGGTTGTTCCGGACATGCAGGTGCAGGATTGTTGTAGCCTCGGGTCCTGCTGTCGAGGAACTATCGCAAGAACACTGATACAGGAATGGCGCATCTTCACTGATTAGAAAATGAGTTAGGTACAGAATCTACAATCTTAAATAGGGTAATGTTCAAACCTTAAAATAGGTTTGGTGCAGCTTCCGTGGTCAGTAAAAGTGTTAGGTGCAGGCTCTATAGTCTGAAATATGGGAAATGGAAACCCGTTTAATATGGCATGGAAACCCGTTTTATAATCTGTAGCTGTACAGAAATTGCTGTTGATCACGTAAGTGTAACAGACGAAACATATATTTATAATGTATCTTCGGCGAAATAAGTAGTAGGAATATATTCGGAGTTTATAAGATAACTAGAACAAAGAAATCAGTTCGATGCATTCTCAATTTCACGGGCTAATTGAACTCAACGCTGCATAGGTGAAGAAACATTTGCAGCAGAATGTGATGAGTCTAATCACCATCACTATCAAAACTACCACATGGTGTGATAATTTCAAATTTTACAACAAAATTTAATGAATTAGATAACATTCGAGACCATTTGATGAGTCTAATGACATTAAGAACTGAATAAAAGTCATAATTCAGGCATTTCAGCAACAGTGTATCAATGATTCATTCCAATTAGCCTACTGAAATGCTTTGCTGTTACTCGATTATTCAAGACTCTTCTATTTAAGATACATCAACGCAATCGAGTTGACGTAAACTGCGCGAGTTCCAGAGACCGGGAAATCTTGATATCTGTAACAGATCAGAGAGATGCCTCGCACTGGGTCAGACATCGCTGGAGGCTTCTGCTCCTGCACTCTTCTTCTTCTAGTTGTTGTTTAATGGGAGCTTTGGAGACGCGCCCATGCAGCCCCATGGCAGAAAGCTGTAGCATGTGCAGCAAACCTGTTGAACAGAACATGACAGGGCACCGCCGTGTAACACGGCTGAGCAGTGGAACACGGCCAAGCCTAGACCCGTGGAACACGGCCGAGCCGTGCAACACGGCCGAACCGTGCAACACTGTAGAGCCGTGCAACACGGCAGAGCCAGCAGGACACGGCAGAGCTATAAACTGGCAGCATTTAGAAAATTCACAATTATTTGGAATAAGATTATTTTCAGAAAAACAAAACTTTCCAATAAGGTTCATGAAACCAATGATTTAATAATATGCGTTTAAAATTACTTTTTAAAATACAACACTTCTAAAGAATCCAGTGTCTCTGATGTTACACACGTTTAATGAATTTCTAATTTTATTATCAAATATTAAAAAAAGTAATTTTTAAATTTTATTTATAAAACTAAAAAATAAATAAATTTTTCAAAATTATTTATTCTGTCAATTGATTCATGCATTGTCTCAGACTTTATGCTAGTATGCAAAATTTCAGATCGATTGGACAAGTAGAAGTGTGTTAAACATCGATTATAAGATTTGTAGCAGACAGACAAACAAACAACAAGAAGTGAAGTTAAAGAGAAGTGTTGTAAAAATACTACCAAGCAGAGTTATTGTTCGTGTAGAAAGATTTTAATAATTATAGTTCATTTGGCCCAAAAAACTTTGAGCAAAGTTTTATTTTGCAGTAACGCAAAAGTTTGAGTAAGGCACCAATCTGCAAGTTCACATTAGGTAATAGGAAGAATGGGCAATGTAGTTACGCTAATAGTTCATGAGATCAGACTTTCAGACAAAACTCCATCTCCACATAATGATATACGCAGTAGCTCACTCACAGCTGTCACTCCAGAATATTCCAGTTAGAATGTCACCAGCTCAGGCTCTACTCAAAACACGCCCAACAGTTCGCTTCATCTGGGCATCATTAATACAATATGCAAGTATCACCGATAAAATCTTTGATTTTTCTGGGCTCCTACACTCGTATACTGCATTGGGATCGTCTTTTTTCTTCTAATTTTAAGAATGTGTGTACAATTTTAAATTGCCTCGAATGAAATCTGCCAAATTTTTGTTTAATATTGTGAAAGGACTTCTATTCAATTTAATGAAAATTCTTGATCTCCAATACTTGGAACTTTGTACACAACGACTTACTGATTTATATTAGTTATACATTACGCAATATATTAGAGAGAGATTTAAGTAACTATCAATAGCAGTAAACTTTTTCGCAATTTTTTACTCCATTTTAAAATTCTCCGCTTTATCTCCCGTAAAACACAGCTTTATCTCCCGTAAAGTTAGACATGACAAGGCAACTTTATGTTGAAACAATAAATTTAATAAGCCAATACAGCTGGACTAAATTAATTTTGGTGTACAATTATGATTCACTCGGATAAAACAACGTGAAATGAAAAACCCTGCCACGAGAATACGCACACAAGAAAACAATCGCATTTTATCAAATTTCACTCATAATAAATGTCTATAAAGCATCAAGGGTATCGTCAGAAAAGCTCATTTTTCATTAAAAAGTCAGGTTTGAAACCTGTAAAAAATCGTCCCCAACATTTTTAAAAGCGATCGCTGGACTCAGGTAAAGTTTGTAGGCAGGTTAATATTGTGCGTCTGTTTCTCCTCATCGTGGATTGAAAGAATCAACGGCATGCGACATGAGGTTGGAATGAGTATTCATAACATTGCTTTGGTATTTTTACCCAATGACACAGAGCGAATTCTGATACTTCTTAATTCGCTGATTGTGAAAATTGGGAATGATTTACCAGCGAGGATATACATATGTATATAGGACTGCAAATTAGAAGTGAGGCCTGATCTCATTGGTCAAGCTAGTGAGTCTTAACAGATACTAAAATCTTACGATAATAATATATGATTTAGTGTCTTGTCTAATGTAATTTAGATTGAGACCTTTTTTACGCACCACGTATCATGCAGGTATACGAGTGAATTATTGAATTCGGGTTTGAGTCTCATGTTGCAGAGGGCCAATTTTTAGCCGCTCTATTAGTTCTAAGTCACCGCAATTCTCCGACTTTGACTGAAGATGAAAAGTATCGGAACGCATCTTTCGTAGGACGAGTGGATCATTAGTCTGTAGCTGGGCTCCACTCTGAATTCTTGTCACTGACCTGTTGCTATAGTACTCTCGTTTGATGTAATTGTATTCTCATTCTATGACCGCCGTGTAAGCCTCTCGTAATCAAACGTTTACGTAAATTCATAACGTGTCCCTTTACAAATCTCGAATGTTGTTATTCCTCAACCTCGTATGTTAGGGCCCGATGGCAGAGACCCTTTGAATTTTGAAAGTATATGCTAGTCGTCCCTCTACAGTGTGTCTAGGTATATGGCGCGTAACATCAATCGAATTTACGATTACAGTATACATGCGAACACTTTCATGTAATTTACTTTATGACAGTTAGCTGAGTAATGACTTAATTCATCAATTATATCGCTGTATAACACTTTCCGTCGATTAATATAAATGCGTTAAACTGATCAAATGGAATATGGTTCGGTTGCCAACACTTGCATCGCCTTTCTTACTTAGAGAGAGTCAATTCAATATTGACAAGCACGAGCGAAATACAATCATGAAAAGTTAATTTGAAGTTTGAGGTACACTAATGCGGTTTTTATGTTTTTTTTACTGAAAAATTACATTTGGTTCATTATATTTTTTTTAGATTGAAATTGTTAAATTACTTGATGAAATATCGCGGCTCACTTAATTTCAATTACATTGAAATATATATTAGCAAATACTATATGCAAGTATCACCGATATATTTTGATTTTTCTTTAGCTTCATGCTTTCTTATATAACTAGACAAATAAACTATTTATGTAAAAGTAGAAACACATAGATATTTTCCTCATTTCAATATTGCAGCAGATGAGACGTACTGGAACACTAGTTGCAGTCCTACTGCTGGTCTGTCATAGCTGTCATGGTCTACTGAGTCTGATTACCTGCTAAACTATACGATTATTTTTTAAGTATATATATTTCGGTATTTTCCTCATATCATTATTGCAGCAGATGAGACGTGCTGTAACACTAGTGGCAGTCATGCTGCTGGTCTGTGATAGCTGCCATGGCATGTTGAGTCTGAATTCCTGCTAAACTATAAAATACGATTATTTTTTAAGTATATATATTTCGGTATTTTCCTCATTTCATTATTGCAGCAGATGAGACGTGCTGGAACGCTAGTGGCAGTCATGCTGCTAGTCTGTCAAAGCTGTCATGGTCTACTGAGTCCCCAGGCTTTGGGCACCAACCCTTCCCTCAGCGCCAACTTGGGCAACAGTCTCGCCACAACGCAGATCCAAACTCTGGGTTTCAACGTCGCTAACTTCTTTCCTAACCGTGAGTTGGATTCATAATATTTACCTACTAGTAGGTTTGTTAGAAATTATTATTAATCATTTAAATTTAATCTTTTTAATTTGTGTTCTACTCCCCCTGTGTTACCTATTATACTGAAAGCTGTATCCTCTGTTACCCTGAACGCAGCATTTCTTGTTATTAGGAAGTCAGTATTCCTGTTTCCCCAAACCCAGTATTTCCTTTTATCCTGTCCGCAGTGTCCACTGTCATCCTGAATGATGTATTTCCTATTACCCTAAACTAAATATTCCCTGTTACCCTGAACTCAGTATTTCCCTATTACACTGGCCGCAGTATTCCCTGTTACCCTGAACTCTATATTCCATGTTACCCTAAATGCAGTATTCCCTGTTACCCTAAATGCAGTATTCCCTGTTATCCTGAACTCAGCGTTCTCTGTTACCCTAAAATCAGTTTTCCCTGTTACCCTGACCGCAGTATTCCCTGTTACCCTAAATGCAGTTTTCCTGTTATCCTTAACTCTATATTCCCTGTTACCCTATATGCAGTATTCTGTTACCCTGAACTCAGCATTCCCTGTTATCCTCTACGCAGTATTCCCTGTTACCCTAATTGCAGTATTCCTGTTACCCTTAACTCAGTATTCCCTGTTACCATGACCGCAGGATTCCCTGTTATCCTTAACTCAGTGTTCCCTGTTATTCTGTACGCAATATTCCCTATTACCCTAAATGCAGTATTCCCTGTTACCCTTAACTCAGTATTCCTTGTTATCCTGTACGTAGTACTGGGCAATTTCGTGCGCGTGATTCCCACTTCGTGCACGACGGGACTAGGAGGATGCTACCCTTAACTCTGTATTCCCTGCTACCCTTAACTCTGTATTCCCTGCTACCCTTAACTCTGTATTCCCTGCTACCCTTAACTCTGTATTCCCTGCTACCCTTAACTCAGTATTCCCTGTTACCTTAAATGCAGTATTTTCTGTTACCCCTAAATGCACTATTCCCTGTTATCCTTAACTCAGTATTCCCTGTTATCCTGTACGCAGTACTGGGCAATTTCGTGCGCGTGATTCCCACTTCGTGCACGACGGGACTAGGAGGTTTTGCCACCGGAACGTGTCTGAGCATCAGCGAGTGCGCCAGCTTGGGCGGCACGGCGACCACCACCTGCGCTATGAACTTCGGCACCTGCTGTGTTCGTGAGTGATTATCATCATATATTATTATATACTATTAAAAAATAGGAAGAAAGAAGCCGAGTGAGTAATGAAATTATGAAATACAATCAAAAAAAGGATGAAAGAAGCCTCTTGTGGAATGAAATTTTGAAATATTATCAGAAATTGGGGGGAAAAAAAGGCTCCTATGGAGAAAATGATGAAATTCTGTTAAAAATAGAAGAAAAAACGCTCATTTGATATCAAATATTGGGTTGAATAACAATATTGGGTTGAAACACAATATCAGGTTAAAATTTATATTTTTTTTCGTTGTGAGTGACAAAATTTAAAAATTGAGTGCAATTTATCTAGTACCAAGTCTATTGTAGATACTATAAGCCATGTTAATTCAAAACCATTGATAAAAAATAATTAAAGTTATACATATGTTTGCAGTCCGTCAAATTTGCTCACAAACGGTCACCTCCAGCACCACCAGCTACTTCACGAACCCTTCCTACCCTAACACGGATAATTCAGTGGCAGGCGGTTCTTGCAGCATCGCCATCCTGCCTTGCCAGAACAACATTTGCCAGATACGAATAGACTTTATTGATGTCAATCTCATCATGCCGGAGAACAGCAACGGCAAATGCGCCTACGACAAACTGATCATTACAGGAAACGGAGCGAACTCTGGCAAAATACCAACCTTATGTGGAAATTTGACCGGACAGCACAGTAAGATCAGTAATGTTGATAGCATGTTTTCGCTAAATATGTTTAGGGATAAAGTTCAAGTAGTTTTGTTTCGTCTTCTCAGACGAGAATTTGCTCTTGAATATCGTATAAAATAGGTTTCACAGGATAATATTTCATGATAAATTCTGACTAGCTGCCTCTTATTTCAATTTGTTCTAGGAATTCCCAAGATATAATCGTCAAAATTTTTATTTTGATTTTAACCTCTAAGATATTTATACTTTTAGGCGACATTTTTTATTTCAGGTTCACACATACCTACTAATCATGAATTTTTAAATGAAGGGCGGTGTCTCAAATTTTCAGATGGAAATTACTAATAAATGTCAATTTTTGGAACATAGCTTCTAACTCCTAAAACGTGTTTCATTATCTTAAACACCAACGAATAAAAAATCTCACTCCATTTAAATTCGCAACAAAAATCTCCAAACCTAACAGTTTACATCGACGTGGAGCCAACATGCAGCCCCACCAATATCAACGTCCAAGTCTACGCACCCCAACTCGATGCGAGGAAATTCAACATGAAAGTAACACAAATTCCCTGCTTGTCCCAAGATCTCGGTAAGATTTATACTCCTATAATTAATATATGTTCGCTAAATCTGTTCTGATTCCGCTCAGAGTATTTCAAATGAAAAAAGGTGATAATACGTCAGTTCTAGATGTCCAAACCTTGAACTACAGTAGACTAATTTTTGGCATTTTTGTGCCTTAATCGGATTACGATAAATATATTACACAAAAAATTAACTCAGTACTCACTGCAGTGAGTGACAGAGAGCGCATTTTCTCGTCGACGGAAACGTGGTCACGGGCGGACGGACAGACAGACGGACGGACATGACGAGCACAATAGCGCCTTTTCCCATAAATGAGAAAATGTGCTAAAAAGGATTATTGCCAAATTTTATAATTTTCCTATCAATAAGAAAAATGCTCAAATTTCCACAATCTCGCCACATTTTGCACGTTCCTCTTTCTTGCAGCACCAGCAGGTTGCCTGCAGTACTACAACAGTACGTCTGGCACAATCAAGTCTTTTAACTACGGGAGCGTAAACGGACTCATCGAGACACAGAACTACGCGACTTGCATCGCCTCACAGCCCGGCTTCTGCTCTATCACGTGGCGGAAAACTGCGGACTCGAGTTTTCAATTACCCGGCACTTGTGGTAACTTATTTTGCTTAGAAAGTTGATTTAAAATAAATAAAGTTTAGATTTTCTACTGGGACTCATGTATTGGTTGGACATTTAATGTTTTCTTGTCGATACTCGAATTTTTAATACCGTCACGCTGCATGTTGTAATTATCAACCTGTACGAATTGTGTCAACGTACCACCGAGTATTTAATTCACATTTTCAGCTAATTTTTCTAATTCCCCAATAATTTTATAAATTAACATATGCGGCTTCAAATCCTACCGCGTGTAACGGGGTAGCAACTTTCCATTCAATTTTGTGAGAAATTAAATTGTGCATTAATAAACGCAATAAAAGTAAGATCGGTTGATTCATAATATGACGATCGATTGATTCATAGCATATTCACCTTCTGATTTTCAATTAAAAAGTTACTGAATCAGCGAATTTCGTTTTCTCCAATAAAAAACTATAAGCAGTAATTATTCCAAACGTTGATGCAACTTTGTTTTATAATTCATCGCCATCATTCTGTACATTTAATTTCTTTAATTATTTATTAAACAATACGTCAGTACAAACACGCATTATTTGAGCCATTTTATCATTATCATCATAATTATTTATGGATATTCTGCTCATTAGATGTATATTTTTTATCAGGGGAATTTATATGTATAGATGTATATTTTTATCAGTGTAATATATGTGTATAGATGCATATTTTTCATCAGGGGAATATACATGTATAGATGTATATTTTTTATCAGGGTAATATATATGTATAGATGTATATTTTTTATCAGGAGAATATATATGTTTAGATGTATATTGTTTTATCAGAGGAATATATATGTACAGATGTATATTATTTCATCAAAACAGCCCCTACGAGCGAGTGCTGCGTGAATGCTTACGTGTTAGTGCCTGGAGCCACGTGTCAAGGCCTTGCCTTCTCCAACGCCTGCACAATCAAGGACCCAAGATTTTGTGGAAACTCTTTCCCTACAACCGATACAACTGAGACCGTTTGTAAGACACTCGCAGTTCAAAAAGTAGTGAAGTTTTACGCAGAAAATATTTCTTTTTGAAGTGAGAGACAAAATTCTATAAGTGGAAAAGTTTTCGTGATTAGTAATTTTTCGAAACGAAGTACGTTTTAAACGATGCTTGGTAATTAGAAATTTAAAAAGTTTTCTAAATACATGATATATTGTATCGCTTACATTAACATTTTATATTTACAAAAAATAGGTAATTTCGCAATTTATTGTGTTTTATAACATCCTGTTGTTGCCACATTATGCAATATTTGCCTTTAATTATGCCATATTATTGATAATAATATTGATATTAGTTATATTTTCTCCTCAGCATGGCACAAACCATTCGCTCTGTACGCGCACATCCCGAAATCTCTGGGCCAGTTCTACGCGGGATACAGTCTGGACTATTCACTTAACAGGTGCACTTAACAGGTGCTCTAAACAGGTGCTCCTAACAGGTGCACCTAACAGCTGCACCTAACAGGTGCTCTTAACATGCGCACAAATTAGATGCTCTCAACAGGTGCACCTAACAGGTGCTCTTAACAGGTGCAATTAACAGGTGCTTTTAACAGGTGCACCTATTAGATGCTATTAACAGGGCACCTATTAGATGCTATTAACAGGTGCACCTATTATATGCTCTTAACAGATGCACATATTAATTAGATGCTCTTAACAGGTCTGCCTATTAGATGCTCTCAACAGGTGCACCTATTAGATGCTCTTAACAGGTGCACTTCTTAGATGCTCTCAACAGGTGCACCTATTAGATGCTCTCAACAGGTGCACCTATTAGATGCTCTAAACAGGTGCACCTATTAGATGCCCTAAGCAGGTGCACCTATTAGATGCTCTCAACAGGTGCACCTATTAGATGCTCTTAACAGGTGCACCAAATAGATGCTCTTAACAGGTGCACCTATTAGATGCTCTTAACAGGTGCACCTATTAGATGCTCTTAACAGGTGCACCTATTAGATGCTCTTAACAGGTGCGCCAACAGGTGCAACTAACAGGTTTTAGCTTACGGACATATCGGCAAATTATTATGTATGTTCGATGTTCATCGATGATCAATGATACAGAGAAAAATTAGGAAGTCAGTATACTTAATACGATCTTTCTTGACATTTCATCCTTTTTTTGGTGTGATGTTCATTGAGTTATTTTACTGAATTTCAATTTTTTATAAAAAGCTTATTTTTCTGAGGAGTAAGGGAGACTTTTTTTTTGCTTGAAGATATTTGTTCGAAAAATCCTGTGGCTAATACAACTCTTTCAATATAAACCTAATAGGAGTGATGTTAAATTGTAATAAGATATTTAATTGAAGAGAATAAAAAGTAAAATAATTTATCTATTTGAAAATTAATATAATTTATTGCGTAAATTCAAAAGTCGAGTTACAGGAAAATTATATTTATAAAAATTAGTGGAATTAGTGGGCTTATAAATACTCCAGTAAAAAGTCTAAAAAAATGAATCAATCGATCAATTCGTAGTTACATGTATCCTATAAATTTTATACAATTCATATCTATTTATTTATTTATGAATTAAAATTGTATTTGAATTTGAAATTTTAATTTTCCTTCTGAACTGGTTTCGACGTTTTTGGTTTGTCCTGTTATTGTCATGCGTTACCGTACAATTCTACAAAACCACGAAAAACTTATATAAATCTACGGGGTTTCAACCTAACATTTGGTTACCTAATTTTATCGATTTCACTCTGATAGGAGCGATATTATTTATTTTTTTTTATGTTACATTTGATCGATAGAATTCTTGGTCATAAAAATTAACTTAAATAGTATTGAAAAATTCATGCCTTTTCCTTTTTTTTATGAAATATTCACGCACTCAATTTTCTCTCATTATTCATTACAATGAAACACTAACTTTGACTGACTGTTCAGTATGCAGCCGTACATTACATAAATTATTTTAATAAAAATCCACACGCTTACAAGAACTTGAATGAACCTAAGACTCCACAATATTTGTGTTCTGAGTATCATTCATAAATTTGCCATAAATTAGTTCACACATTTGACTTGACGATACGACAAGTTAAATCCGTCGTTGCTTCTGTCGCCAATTTCTGATTTGTCGGTGACCACGTGGAGTTTGTACGGGAGGGTATTGGCTGCGAATAAATAAATATAGTTTGCATTATAATTCCAAATTCCAAATTATTTATTCCAACAAGTATTTCTAATTATTTCGAACAAAATTATAACACCATATATTGTATTTTAATTCATAATTTCAGGCGTCAATGAAATTAATTTTACTGACATATGATAAAGATTGTTTTCACTTACTAATTACCTGTATAGGTACCAAGAAAGCTGACATTCTAGGAGTAAAATAAAAATAGCGATTTATTTTCTGTGAGTTTCGCAATAAGTAACTTGTATGAAGATTCTAAAAATAAATGATTAAATTCCTATGCAAAAACTGTTGACATTCTGACTCTCTAATATTTGGTTTAACATAAATACAAATCTATTGCTATTTTTTTCTTAAATTATAACAGCTACTCAAAAATATATAACTAATATTGAAGGTAAGGTAAAACTTGGGAATAAAGTTTTGTTCTTCAATGTAAACGTTAATTTAGCTGAATTTGAATAAATTCATGATTCACTTACTGATAACTTTAGGGAGTTTAGTGCCACAAAACCTGTCGTTCTCCACGAGTTCCAGGGTCTCTGAGTCTCTGAAGACTCCACCGGGAACCTCAATGTAGTCAGACTTGCAGTTATTCTCTCCTGAAAAGTTTTGATATTAGGAAACATCAGGCCTAAAATAAGCAGTTTTTCATATTTAAAAATTAAAATTAAAAAATGAAAATTTTCATGTGTCTCGAGCTTGTTGATCAATCAACTAATAAGGCAACTTTTTTGTGTGTTGTCATTAACACACACTAGATATAAGATGTTATGAATGCGGTAGTTTAATATTGGCACTTACTAAAAACGGACGGGAACTTACAAATCTAACTTCCACATAAGAAACTGAAAACCAAAATACAAAAAATATTAGCGTATATAATACCATATCATATGTATATTTCCCTGCCAACATATTTACAAGTCATACCAGTGATTATCTTAGACTCTAAGCCGTCGCCAGTGAGGCTGAAGCCGTGATCATCAGCTTGTTCCCATATGAGCGCGCAGTGGCCGGGAGACTTGACCACACATACCTCGTAGTCGATGCTGCTCGCTTGGTTCATTACTGCAAACGAAAATATATGTATATAATTTCAGCGTCATGAATTACGATATAGTAGTTGAATGAGGCGTTACCAATTATTCTCGAATCTCACTAAAGTGCTAGTAAAAATAGGAAGGCTTTTGAATTATTATTAATGCGAGTAGAAATACATTTTTTGTAGATATCGTCGTTCTAACGTCGTCGATTGTTTGTATTTCAAAACTAGTTCATTGCTAAATGAAAAATTGGAAACGACAATGAATTTCCTTCGCTTTGCGGTAAAGAAAAACGTTAACCTGGTTTATTTAAAGTTTACAAAGAAGGACCAAATGATATGGCGCAGGATTTTATTAAGTATGTGTCCATTGTGGCAATCAACATCGTTTCACACCAGAAGCTCAGGTATGAAATAACTGCGAATGACTATTCTTATGGAAATATTTGATCGGTGAGAGATACAAGTAAATTGTTATTTAATAATTTTTTGTTTCAGTCTTATGATGTTACGGTAATGAATGATTTGGTTTATGAGGTTCATATTATTTGAATGTCCAAATTTTTTTCTCGACTGACATGACGATCATTTCTTTCATTTCTCTGGGAGATCATTTCTTTCATTTCTCTGATCTCTGACGATCATTTCTTTCAATTTCTCTGGGAGCTCAATTTGAAAAAGTATTCAGCGAACCCCGATACTCAAGACAGAAGAACGAAATTGGAGTCATTCAAGAACTTCCAGGGGATCGGCAGCTGACGAGCATTGAGTTTGAAACGCCGGATCTAGAGAGGAGTATCCAAGAATTATCTACGTACTCGGCTCCCGGGCCGGATGGGGTCCCTGCAGTATTACTGAAAAGATGTGTCGGTGCACTAAAGGTCCCTCTGAATTTGCTCTTGAAAACATCATTGAGAGAAGGAAATGTCCCAAGTGACCTTAAATTAGGGTAAAATGCTTCAATTTTAAATGTTGAAAAACCAACCCAAGCTTTTAGGTGATAGGTCCCCTCGACGATTGAAGCTCGTTACTCTGCCAGAGGTTGTGTTGAAATATTGGAGGCAGTTATCGGGCACTGAAATAAAATAAGGAAAATACATTGCCCAGGAAATTCGTACATTCTCACGATTTTTGTAAAACGGCAAATTTAAAGAAAAGTTACAGTTATATAATATACGAGAGTTATTATTTTTCGTGTATAATAATGGGGGAAAGTAAACTCTCATACGTCAATATAATAAATTACTGTAGCTCAACTCATTCCTACAGAGACAATTCGGAGTGAATACAAAACATAAAAAAGCCCCTAGGAATTTATTTAATTAAACATAACGTGTAAAAACGAAAATTTCTCATAGATATTAATTCATTAAAATTATAAAAATTATAAAAAATAACTGACCGGCAAAAGTTTGCCCAATTCATTGAATTAAGTTACGTATTCAGACATGTTGTGTTACTTTTTCACGCATATTATGTTATTTATTCAGACATTTTGTGGCACTTATTCAGACATATTATTTTACTTCTCATATTGTGTTACTCATTCAGACATACCTCGCTCCTTTGCATCGCAGTTGATTTGAGTAATTTTTATATTCCAGTTGCGCATCATGGAGAAAGAGCTGGACTGATAGATTGCCAAGTGTATGTCACGGCCGCGCTCCACGTGGACGTACACTGTGGACGTACATTGTATAAAGTGATGTTAAAAAGTGCATGAGCATTGAAATGCAGTGAATGTTATCACAAAAAGATGGACTGCAACGAGAAAGTAATTACCACTATCTCAATAAAACCTGTAATTTATGTTAGTGTTAGCCTTTGCTAGGTAAAAGAATTATCAGAAAATATTTGTTTGAACCTTTCTTTTAAAATTCCCTTAACAAAATTAACAAATTATATGTTCATTCATAGAGTTTCATTTCAAATGATTTCCCAATCTATCCGAAATAAAGTATCTTTTGTTATTAAACATCGCGTAAACTGTGAAACCGTTTCCTTCAAATAAATTGGCACTTCATATATTTTATATATTTTTAAATTGATTATGGATCTGGTCCCCGAAATGTTTCCATTGAAGACTTGGTAAACTTATTTTTCGCTTTCTTTAATTATTAATCTTTGCTGAACTTGCGATTTTTGCGGACTAATAATTTAAGTACATAACACGTACTGTGTTGTCCTGTAAGATCTCCACACAGCTTTGGTATCGGCTGACCCCCGAAGATCTCGAGGAAGTCATGGCTGCAGACCGAGTCGAAGTCTGGACCCGCGATGTTAAAGGAGAGGAAGTCAAGGCGATACTGGCAGACTTTGTTGTGCCGCGCGGTTGAACTGAACCGACACGATCCGGAGCCTGGTCCGGCGACCGCGTCCTCGGGGTGGGTGAAGTGACTGATCCACTCGTCGCTTGACGCGCCACATGACTGGTGGACTGTCGTAATGACCAGGTTTCTATTAAATGTTAGTTTTGTTGCACATATTATCAAGCCAAGTGAACGAGCCAAGTTTAGGTTTTCGTATTCATTATTCGATACAATTCATAGGTAGGAAACATTAAATGCCTCGCTAGGGTTTTGCAATAGACTTACAGACACAGCAGGCTCCGGTTCCGAGACCGCATGTCCCGAAACTTTCCCCGCTGAAGAAATAACAATCGGCGTACCGGACGCAAGTGCCCTCGGTGAAGGCGTTCGTGAACGCTCGGGAGGTGTTGCACATGGGCGGGAACTCGAAATTCCGGGGTGAAATGACTGGTGAGAAATTTCATGTTACATGACTGGCGGAAAACGTGCGACACAACTGAAAGAAATATGACGATATAACTGATGGAAAAATATGATTGCATGACTGACGGGAAATATTTATATGATTAGTGGAAAATACGTCATATAACTGACGGAAAATATGATGATATGACTGACGGGAAATATTTACGGGATATAACTGACGGAAAATATGATGATATGACTGACGAAAAATTCCATGACATGATTGACGTAAGATATTATGTTACATGACTGGAGGGATATGTGCTCTACAACTTAAGGAAAATATACTGATATAACTGACGGGAAATATGATTATATGACTGACAGAAAATATTTCATAGGATTAAGGGAAAATATGTGATATAACTGACCGAAAATATATCATATGACTGGCGGACTGTGTGTAATATAACTCACGGAAAATATCATTGCTTGATTGACAGAAAAAATTTATATGATAAGCGGAAAATATGATGACATTATTGACGAAAAATATGTTGATAATTCAATTGAGGAGAAAAAGCATGATTATTAACCCAAACGAAACTGCACAATAGTAGGAGTTTAAAGTGATATGATTATATAAATGAGTAAAAATTAACGAAAGATTAATTCAGGAAATTTTGCATGCCTCTAATCGCAGTAGATATTAACCAGTATCAAGAAATAGGTTTTTGTAATTTTTTAGCTATTGTTTTTAATCCTGTTAATCCAATCGCAAAGGGAATAAATGTTCTAGATTTGCACAAACATTTTTTGCTCAGCGTAAATGCAAGTATGATTGGTAGATAGAAGTATGCATCAGCAACGACACCTAGAGTCGATGCAACAACGAGGCTAATGAATGTAATATTTTGATGTAAATCGGCCAGCAACAATGATGCAGAGCATATCTTTATGGTCTCACTCAAGTCAAATAATAAATTGACGGGATATTTTAGCTAAAATATATTGATAATTTCATACTTGTTTTCATCAACTAAGGCATCATATTAAAACTGAAATAAATTTATAACGTCATTATAATTGCCCCTGATAAGAATTTTCTGCACACTTACGTAAGGTGTTACTTCCTAAACCGAAGAATAAGCACCCTATGCATTAATTGCAGGCTTCTCGTCAGTCATAAACAGCCATGACACTAACCCTTTATCAGATCACGTATTTGTGACCTGATAAAGTAGTAATTTTAAGTAATTAGTAAGTAAGACCCTTGGGAATTTGTTAATTTGATGTTATTCCAACAGTTGCTTAGATGTTGTTTTGTAATTGCTGCTTAAATTTCATAAAATGTTCATGTTCCTGTCAACAGAATCAACAGAAATCATCATGAAGTACAGAACTCGCAATAATTGTTATTTCCTTATTTGAAACCTGCGAGTCCAGAATTCTCTTCATAAAAATATAACACCGTCACTTTTTCTATTGAATGATGCGCCGTGTTGAAACTGAAATATATAGCGCATCCCATCATTACCTATATTAACTGGAGCAATGTTTTGAAATTGAAATAAATATGTAGATACTGCCATTATCGTCGCCATTAACTGGAGCACCGTGTTAAAACATATCATAGCATAGCATATCATAACATATCATATAATACCATCTTCGTCTCAATTAAAAGGAGCATCGTGTTAAAACATAACTCTGTATATTATACCATCTTTGTCTTAATTAGAAGAAGCATTGTGTTAAAACATAACTATGTATATTATACCATCTTTGTCTCAATTAACTGGAGCATTGTGTTTAAACATAACTATGTATATAATACCACCTTCGTCTCAATTAAAAGAAGCATCGTGTTAAAACATAACTATGTATATTATACCACATTTGTCTCAATTAACTGGAGCATCGTGTTGAAACATAAATACATAAATAATGCAAATATCGTCCAAGATCTCACTGGTAAAGAACTGGCTGAGCGCCGAGTTTTCGCTGGGACGTCCTGTAACGTACGCGTTGTAGGTGTCAGGGTGTATTATGTCCTCCATGTTTGTTTCTTCCAACACGTCAAGGGCCGGTCTCATCATGCTGTACAGGGGACTCGTTGACAGAAAGTTTCGGATGCCGATGCCCATTTCGTGCAGGATTCCTTCGAACTGATTTCCAGAAACAAAATCCCAGAATTGCCGGAAATCTGAGAGAATAAACACAAATTATTTTTTTATAATGCTGAAGAAATTGATTGGTTTGGAATCTTGCTATGTAGGAGATCGTTCTGAAATATGTTGCCCTAGTTCGAATATGACATGACTTCGAAACTTTTAATGAACTGACAATTAAAACTTATCGCAGAAACTTATCATGAACATTTCTAACTATGACATAAACTTGAATTTTTAACCGTCTCATATTATCCATTTAGTTACAAACCGGATTTTGTGCTTGAATTTGTGCAAAAACTTGAAACACATCTAGGAAAACAAGCAAGACCTCAATAATTTTAAAAAGATACATTAAAAATCCAATTTTTCAATGTCAATTTACCTACCAATTCCAGAAAGTGCAGTGACAGAGTCAGTCACATCTCCATCAGCAAAAAGTGCCGCGAGTTCTGCCATGTCACTGACAAACTGGTCGATTTCTGCCTGCGTCGCGTTCTCTGCGAGCGTCGACACTTCGGATATGGCGTTTTGTAGCAGCTGCTGTTTGGTTATTTTCTTGAGTACCTTTGCAGTTCGATGCCCTGTTTCGCTTTCCTCAGCTATTTGTTTCACAAGACCAAAGAAAACTTTCAGCGCCACCAGCTGACTTTTCGGATCGCTTTCTTTGGTTACAAATTTAGGGTGCTTGTGGTGTTTGAAAGGCACTGATGGCTTGTCCTGAAATACTTTCATTGAGTGCTGCTTTTTGCTTGCCAGGTTGACAGGCGGGTACTTAACGTTTGGTTCAATTTCCATATCCAATGACAAGGAAATGGAAAATGTCGAAAACAGAAGCTGGCAGCACACAGCCACTTTTAGCCACGCGACCTAAAACAAACGAAGTTAGATTCCTGAGTTTTGGAGATGCACAAAATTCATCTTTAAAAGTTTGTATAAAATAAAAACTAAGTAAAAATAGAAATAATGTCCATTGACGTATGTTTCAATTTGTCTTTTTTTAATATATACAAAATATTAGGTACGTTTAAAATATTTAAGATGGATTTTTTACATAATTGAAAATTAATATGTTATTCAAATATTTGCACTGAACTATAAGTTAATCTCGAAGAAACCGCTGAAAAAGGCAAAAAGTTGTCTGCTGGGAAGATGAACTGATCGAGTGGAAGTTCTTGCGAACAACTGTGCTTTTCAAAAATGGAATTCAGTGAATTTTTATCCAACATTCTAGATAAAGTTTATGGCATGAGAAATTTCAAGAAACAATGAATTATGCTTTTTGAGTGACGGTGCGCACATTAATCTTGCTTAAAATATATAGAAATCGAGCGATCTCGCATGAAGTACTTTGAATCATTTAACGTGATGACGTCCTTTTGCTAACTTGAGCAGAAACCTTTCAATTCAAGTTCAATTAGGCTAAATAACTGATCTAACTGATTTGAAATATGTAATGATTGTGCTTAGTCGCTTAGCTAATAAGTATAAGTTTTTCAGGCTGAATGATAACCTGACCAACTTGGGGATTTCTCTCGAGGTGAAATCGCCCTCCAACAGGTTTTCGAAGCTTCATAAGAACACTCGTAAGAAATATTGAAAGTCTACAATAGTTAGGCGTTACGTCAAGCAAAGGAACGTTAATGTAGATGCTGCTTCATGCTTGGTGAGTAGAAAAAGAAAATTAAAAGTGAAAGTAAATATTCAGTTTGCCGAACCGAATTCCAGAACATGTGTCGAGCATAAAATTGCGTATGAGCTACTGAAACAATTTTTCAGTTGAAGTATGAATGCAAAAGTAGCATCCTCAAACCCCAACTTCTTCGCATTATTAAGCCTTAGAATTAGAATTAATTAGAATTAATCGATATATTATATGGAAATTTAATTGAAGTTTTTCTTTTCAAAGAATTAAGGCCTCACGAGTATTTCATGAGCTAACAGTAAACTCCAGTTAACATAAAAGGAATCAGGAAAAACCGTCCGTATTTATAAGCACTTGTGGCTAAATGACAAAACATAAAGTAACGAACGTGTATCACTATTTAAAAAAATTAGTATTATTGAGTGGCAGATTTGCTTTGCCATTTAGAAAAGTTAGAGTTCGGATAGGAAAAGTATTGAAAAAATTAATTCGTTCGTTTCAAATAAACAAACTAGATGTTTCACGGAATTACTTTTTTCCACACAACCGAAGTTTTTACAATTTACTTTTTTTTCAACCGCAACCTCAATCCTATGGTGAGAAACATGCAGAAAGCCGCAAATTCCGCAAAAACTCTACACCGGATCCGTCTAAAGAAAGTTTACCCAAGAAGTTGTGTGTTCAACAGAAATATGATTATTTACAAACAATTACCATATAAATTTTATATATAATTGTTCCAAATAATTTATTCATGCCATCAATGTGAGTTTAGACCAGTAGAAGACCAGTGTCATATTTCAGTGAGCTTTTTCATATTGTCAAATAATATTAGAAATTCGCGGGAATAAATTTGGCAGGCGATTGGTCAAGGGGCACTTGAACCAATTTTGTTCCGTTTATTGCTTATCATTAAAGCCCAACCTAATAATTACTGTGTAAACAAAGTAATTTTCCTGCAACGGTATAGATCAAATGGTTGCTAACACGCACTCAAATACTGATAGTAAAAATATTTTCATATGGTTACAAATTTTTCAAGCTCTTACTGGGATCCAATTTTCATTTATTCAAAAAGTCGATATCCAAGATGAATCCTAATTTAAAGTCATAGAAGTAAATACTTTTTCGTTTGAACAAATTTCGACCTTCCAAATAATTAGATTCGGAAAGTGGTTTCAGCTACGGTGTGAATGAGCCCACAAAAATGGTTAGCAAAACAGCGGCAAAATATTGCGCAATCGAATTTTATATCAAATAAATTTGTATGACCTGTTGAGATTAGAAGTTAGATTTGAGTTACATCACATAATGCTACTGGTCATTTACAGTATGTAGAGAGAATCTCCGGTCTAGAAGTGCGATCAAACTTAGAAATTCTTTCGATTATTACTATGATTTAATAGCCATATGAAAATGTCGCAGTCATGTAACAGTTATTTCAAACCAATAATATAATAGTTTATCTCATTGTGATTTCGTTCCGTGCTTGCTTTTGTTAGTTGAATACTTACTGGATGTTACAAGATACAAATAGTTTTTCTTGAATTGCACAAGATATGAGATAAGAATTAAACAGTTAAGACACCAAAAATATCAACTGTAACTGTTAAACTGTTAAACTGTAGCACTGCACACGGGAGCTACACAAGACGTACCTGCATCGTGACGCAGTCGAGTCGACACTGTCACTCTCACTTCCAGCGCCCCAATATATACTACAACAATATACTTATTGATAACACGTGCATCATTAATTCGTGCAATGACAATACGTGCAGCATCAGTACATGTGGCCCCACTGCATGCAGCATCTGTACATGTGGCCCCACTGCATGCAACATCTGCACATGTGGCCCCACTGCATGCAGCATCTGCACATGTGGCCCCACTGCATGCAACATCTGCACATGCGGCCCCACTGCATGCAGCATCTGCACATGTGGCCCCACTGCATGCAGCATCTGCACAAGCGGCCCCACTGCATGCAGCATCTGCACATGCGGCCCCACTGCATGCAGCATCTGCACATGTGGCCCCACTGCATGCAGCATCAATACGCGCACCATCGTGCATGAGCGCAAGCATCATTGTAGGGCGTATGTACACTGTACAAGCTACTGTATGCAGACATACAGTACATAATGCACGCTATGTAATATAATACACGCTATGTAATATAATACACGCTATGTAATACAGTGCAGCATTACCGGCAACCCGGAGATATTCTGACCTGTAATTAATCCATTTTTAAAAATAAATAATTTGTAAACAGTGAATCACATTTTGATAAAAGCTAGCCCATAGCCGTCACATTATCCTTGCTACAAGTCACTGTAGCAGTTGTCAAACAGGAAACTCTAGCAGTTTCTGTTCTTTTCTTATTACTGAAATAATTTCCTATCCGTCCTCTTTGTCGTTAATAAATATAAAGTAAAGATTTTCAGCAAAAAATATTGGACACGACACGACAAAATAAAGTAAATAATTTTTCAAATGCAATTTTTCAACATTTAAAATTTTAGAAAGTCATGATATATTGAACTATCATGGTATACCTGCAAACTTCTACATCAACAACAATAACTGGAATATATGAGGGTGAATTTTTTGAATTTCAATAAGAGCTCGAAGACATCAAAGGATCTCTATTGGTATCTACATTATTCTCGTTAAGAAATAAATGGAGAAATCAATTTAAAGTAATTTTAAGTGTTGGAAACTGCATAGTAACTGCATAATGTAATGCATGCAGCATAGTAACTCCTTGCTCAATTTATTCAAAATTTCTAACAAATAAGCGGGATGAAACAACCCGACAATAGCCACTCGTTGATTGTCATTGATCAAAAAGCAATTCATAGACAGAAAAATATTAATAATTTTAATTCAGTTTTATGAAGGTTTAAAGGGATCAAAGTTTATCAAAAATATTTGTCAATGATTAATTAGATCAATACTCATTTCCTGGAATGGGTCATCATTATCGGATTTCAAAAACTTTCTTTTCACTTCATGACTGTGCGAGCTCTGAGAGTATGATGGAAAGTTGCGCACCATCGAGATTGTTTTTGTCAAGCCTTTCAATAATGAAAGTTGCATTTTCTGGTGTTCATGCTGTGAAAAAAAATGTACGTAACTTTAGGCAAAAACATGCATGACGAAGCATTTTAGTTTTGTAAGCACTGGAGCAATAATATGTTCTTGGTCGATATGAACATATCATCGATAAAAAGAATTAAGTATAACTCGAATGAGGGCTTAGAAATAGGATATTGTACACAAGTTTGAATATTAATCAACTCAAAACAAATGAGAATGGAGTATGATACTCGATGAAAAATTATCATTGAAATGCGCCATTTAAAGCTGAATTATAAAATAAGATGTAAAAATTTAAGAGGATTATTTCAATTTAACCTCTTCTTGAGACGCCTGGGGTGAACAGGACATAAATAGGTAACATATAATTTTTAAGTCAAAAACTGGTCATTACAAATTTCGAAAAAACACAAGAATACCCACACGGCATTTTCTGGGAAGAGTTTTCTGCAACAAATAGTGTAAGAGACATCAATATTCAAGAATGCTTGTTGGGTCGTCAAATTTCAGTCGAAACACATCCCTTGTTCTGATCTAACGCACATTAAACTAATCGACCAAAAAACTTTAATCTGTTCTTGTTTAATTGTTATTTGTTTAATTTTAATTCGCAATCTTTAGCTTTTGATGAGCAGTCTATGAGAGACTCACAATTCGTTTTTCGATTCTTTATCTCCCTATTGTTTGTATTGAGTTGAATTGAAAAAAGCATTGGTAATATATGTTTCGCTCCTCTATGATGAGTAACAGTGGCTTTATTATTTAAAATTATTTATCCAACTGATTTAGCACATAATTAATCTAGAAGCTTATACGATAATAAAGGAACAATTTGTAATCAATAACTTCAGAACAAAATCGCACCCGGTCTACGAGCTTATACGATCTCATTGAAAAGAAAACTGAATAATAGATAGCGAGGAAAGACGGCATCGAGAAGTTCTGAAAACTGTTTTTTATTTTGACTTTTTATTGGCACAAAAGTTGAAGTACAAACCGTAAACCCATCCCATTATATCTGAAAAAATTAAAATTATATAACATTCAAGGTATTCAATTGTTTGATTTAATTTCATTAATTTCGTTGGTTTGGTACAACCCCTGATTTATAATTTCTATTTTAAATACCTGTTGCTGTGCATGTTTTAATTTCCAATTGTAGTTTTTGTGAATATTAAAATTTGTGAATATAAAAAATTCNTATTTTAAATACCTGTTGCTGTGCATGTTTTAATTTCCAATTGTAATTTTTGTGAATATTAAAATTTGTGAACATAAAAACATTAACAGAAATCGCAATTGAAAATCAAAACACGCACGGCAACTGGCATTTAAAATAAAAATTATACATCAGGGTTTGTTCTAAACTAACGGAGTTATTGAAATAAAATCAATCAATTTAATACCACGAATGTTTACTATACTATTTTTGGCCCTTCGCTGATATTATGACTACTTGAAAGTTTACAAGATAAAGTTAAATTATTCTCATCAAACGATAGATTAAATCTTGAATTACACTAGGATTTAAAAAGAAATGAAAATGCCGGGAAAGTATGTCATATTTAAATTAAACACTTTCCGGAGATCACGGGACGAAGTTCATGAATACTAGCATAATAATTTATTGACAGAACGACTAAATTTACAGAAGAGACAGAAGAAAAATTACGTAGATTAATTTCATAATTT